TAATTACAGATGACATTTATAGAACCAGTCGTCGATTAGCAGTAGGATCCATATTTGCCGCCCCACACAGGAATGTCTTCGAAGGCACCAAGGGTGGGAAATAGATGTAGGTGAAATGCCTAGGAATAGAAAAGTAAAAATGGCAGGCAAAAAGAAGAGTTCCTTCACTTTAGATTAGAAAGGGAACAACCCTGTGATAGGCCCTCAAAAAAAACAAAAACTTAAACTTAGACCCCTTCCCATTAGGGGTGTTCAAAAAATCTGGTAAACCGAAAAATCGGATTGGACCGGACTGAATTGGATGGTTTGGGCTAGTTGTATAACGGTTTGGTCCTGTCCTGAGCCCAAAATTATGAAACCGTAATTTTTCAATCCATTTCGGTCCTGATTTGGAGTCTTGCTGGACCAGACCAGCTCGGACCAAACCATTATATAACTTATATTATATATATTCTTTTCAACTTTATAGTGATTAGTGAACTAAGTCTATATACTTTTAGCCATGGCAATAAATAATTATGATAGCTGGGGACTTCAAACATTAGTTATTCTGTATACTTAATCTCTCTTGTTTTTTGAAATTTTGAGTTAAATTTTTTTTTTTCTTTTCCCAATATCTCGTAAATGGTAAACAGGGAATGCTGAATTTTTTTCCTTGTGGTCATCTAGTCACTGTTTGTTTCTTCCACATGTGCCTAATATTATTGACAATGCATATGTGATTGTCATCCGGTCACTATCGGTTCCCTGATATATTATATATAGGGAAAAATAAGAGATTTTGTTTAAAAAAATAAAATAAAAAGGAAATCAACTTAAACCGACAAACCGAACCGAACCAAACCGATTTGTCGCGATTTTGTTTGATTTGGTTCCATGGACATTATAATTTGGTCTGGTTTCAAAAATAGTGGAACTATTTTAAATGGTTTGGTCCCAAAAAACTCCCAATCCGATCCAAACCGAACAGTGTGCACTCCTACTTCCCATGAGTGATAAGACCAGAAAAATGATGCCATTGGATTATCACATAAGCCTGCTATAATTTTCAAACCCTAGGTACACTACTTTCAACTGGTTCCATAGCTAAGACTTACATAAAATTGCTTTGTAAGTTAGTGGCTAAACGAAGTGGGTTCGGCCAGGAATTCCTTCCATAAGGGGCAGCCTTTTGACAATATCATAAAATAAAACATATAATATATTGTCAAAAGGTTGCCCCTGTATGAAAGCTGGGAAAATAATAATAATAATATGAAAGCCAGGAATTACTATGTTACCTCACTAAGAACATGACTTGTATGTGATATTTCCAATCAACCATAAAAAAATAAAAAATTAAAATAAATAAAATTAAAATTAAAAAATTAAATACATAAGATAACAAGCATTCCATAAAAGATAACACATTGTAATGTCTCATTAAAATAAAACAAACATATGGTCTCAAAGTTAATATCCCAAAAGCTTTACAGCGAAAGAGAAATATAACATAACCAAACTTAGAAATAATAAAAAAGTTCGACCAATTATCCAAGAATATTGCCAAGTTAAAGTTTTCAACGGTTATAGTCAACGCCCATAATCATCGGATATCAATTCCTCCAATAATTGTTTGCGATGATTGAATGGACAATCAAAAAATTATGTCATTCTATCAGGATGGTCGTGCTTAATAAAAAAAAAATGAAAGCCTTAACAATTGCATGCTCTTCTATTCCGATTGCTACCAACTCCTTAAAGATTTCTTCTTCATATTTTCTCTATTGATTTCACTTCTCGTAAAGATTATTGAATGTTTTATGAAGACCATTTCCCTCTTTAAGAGCTACAACAACACCTCTCACCATTTCAATCATTTCATTATTTTGATCAATAGTCGAATAATTCCTTTTTCTTTTTCCTTTTGAATAAGAAGTGTAATGGGAAGATACACTTGAAGGTGTTGCAGGATAAATCATATTCATATTTTCAAACTCAGTATCCAAAAAACCCGTATTATCCAAACTTGCTTCATTCCGTGACATAAGTGATCAATACCATAAATGTTATCCACAGGATCCTCATTACGAGTTGGCACCCATTCATTGCTCCTCTCACTGACACTTGATGTCAATTCATTATTCATCTCCCTATCATTTGCTGTCCATTTTCCATTTCTCTTCTTAGCAGATAGGGCATTAAACCCCTTTGCCCTATCCTTGGCAAATAAATCCAGCAACTTATCATAATTGGAAATCAGAATAGTCTTCCATTTCTCAGCTGCTGGTTTTGCCTGTTGCCGAAACATTAAAAAATAAAATAAAAAAGCATTATCATTATTTCAAAATGAAAAAAATAAAATAAAATAAATAATGTATTTCTTAAGAGTAAAATAATAATAATAATAATAATCTCAATTAGAAAACCAATTGCAATTAAATCAGCCCAAACTTCAGGTTTAGTGCTCCGCGTTTTTGTTTCTTGACTCCAAGCAAACCCACTCAAACCAGTTTTGAACAAGTCAAAACACTTGTTAAAACGACTCTTGGTTGTTTTCAATCGATTCTTCACTCTATCTTTGTTGATATCAATGCCTAGTATTTCTTTCAATTCTTCAACAATTTCACGATAAGCTTTTGTCGTGAATGTCCCATCAAGCATATGCCCATTGAGATATTGATTGTGTAATGTAGCCACGAATATATCATCCATTTGTGCATTAATCTAATCCAATCTATCATTCTTCGACCCACCACTTATACTTGATTCTTTACTCATTCTTATGTCTACATAATAACAAAGTATAATACAAACAAGAGACAAAAAAGATAAAGATTCAATTGAAGATAAACAAAAAATGCATGCAAGGTAAGAGTTTATAACAAGTTATTAGCATTCTACATCTCCAAATCAAACAAGCACTCTAACATAAAAGACGCTAAGTTATTTCAAGCAAATAAACATATGAAATATCACACTTGATTAGCTAAATAGTCATGCCACATACGGGAAACTATTGAATTTCTCAAGTATTTCTCCAAACTATGATCTTCACTTCTCTCAATTAGACCACCATCTTCATTTTGAGTTTCATTTAATAGCTCCCGGTCTACTTCATTAATAAGTCGTTCATTAAGATCCATGCCCATTAAATAGTTGTGTGTGATGCAACATACTAAAATAATATCAACTTGAGTTTTAACATCATATATTGGTTCAGTACTGCTTCATACGATAAGAAATTATTTTTTCAACACACCAAAAGTTCTCTCAATAACATTCTGTAGTGATGCATGTCGAAGGTTGAATAACTCTCGAGGATTTTCCGGTCGGCGTGAGGACCATTATTTTAAATGGTAGGGCATACCTCTATAAGGCGTGATAAGTCCAACCTTCAATGTGTAATTGGGTATCCCACGTCAACAAAATAATATTTCCCTATCAAGAACAATAATAATTAATATTGGCTTCATATCAATAAAAATTTTAAATTTTTTTAGTTAATATTAACAAAATTTACCTTGAGGTAGTATTAATTTATCTCATTTTATTTCTATTGCACCAGTCATAACTCTTGAGTTTGGAGTGGTACCCTCCCATACAGGTTAGACATAGGTGAATTTCATGTTAAATGAACAAGTAGCTAACACATTTATTGTTGGATAATTCTTCCTACCACCGTATCTTGGTCTCTTCGTTAGATACTCTCATACGAACGTGTGTTCCATCAATTGGCCCAATGCAATTCTGAGATAAATTATTATATAAAAATTTACATGTAATAGTTGGTGAGAAAAGAAAAATTGAAGTATTGAAGAGTACAAGTAATAATCATCTTTACCTTGAAATATGGATGAAACCTATCATTATTGAGTATTTGTGGGGGGACGTCCAATCCATTAGGTTGCTCGAGGAACTGTCCTTCCAACGATATTATTGCTTTTAACACACTACAAAAATGACGGTTTATGGTTTCACCAAAGCGACAAAGGAAAAATGGCATTGTCTGATTCCTCACATTGTGTGATATAATGTGAAGAAACTTGACAAACTTGCTCTTCAACATTTGCATGTTTTGTGGGTCGAGGATCACCATCTCTCGTAAGTAGCTCACAAAAACTTTGAAAAGCTTTTGGTCCATACGAGTAATGGTTGACCGTCATTCCTTAAGGTCAACTGAATGAATTATCTCTTTAATAATCTTACAATCCTATGCCATGAAAATTCCTTTATAAATTATACACAAGGATGACAAAAATTTATTACATTTCCTTAGCAGCCATACCAAAAATATAAATAGTAAATTTCTACAAGTTGTTAAATAAACAGTTTTTATTTAGAAATAAAAAATAAAAAATAAATTGTTCTCTTGTGATTGGAAAAAAAAATCAACAGTTAAGTTTTTGAAAATATGTTTATAAAGAATGAGTTATAACTTTAAAATAGACCTAACTTTTAAAACTTAAAATCAGATCTCATTTTTTTCTCAGAATTAAAACTCAGTTTTGCCCCCACCTATCATCCTCAATTGTAATATAGAAGTTTTCTTATTCTTTCACATTCTCGAAAACTGAATTCAAAATTCCAAACCAAACAAGCCTTTTAACAATTTTTTCCTAGTTGGCATTTCAATTTATTTGTTATTACTTAAATGCTGTTCAAGACCGGGAACCCTTTGTCATATAACCTCGGGTAACTAACAAATTTTTTAGATGCATGAATCAAAATTCTAAACAACATTTACGCAAACTGTTATATTAGCGAGAATGAGAGAGCTAAATATTTTTCTTACTCAAATTTTAATTTAAAAATGAAAAATAAAATAATAAATTTACTGATGTTCCACTCCCAAAAGAAGAGTAAACAGAGGATCTAACAAGGACCATGCTTAAATGGGGATTTAAAACTCTCAACCTCCTGTCTCAAATCAGGCAAAACCATAATGTCTAGATCTTGCAGTAAACTGAATCCTTTCAAGAAAGAGTGTTTGCACTTGTTAACACGAGTGACATGAAATGGAGAAGAAATTAAAGCACGAGGATTTAACCATAAATATCCAAGGACCATCCTTATAACAACAATCCAATAATGAAATGTCTATGTGATGAAATATCCCACAAAGCAAGCAACATAATAATGCTTGAACAAATTAACCATGTTTAACAAAACCAGAAATTCAGTCTGGAAGACATCCAAAAATTCCTACTACAAAATATCCAAAACTCGATCAACAATAGAAACAAACTCCAAATAACCTCACGAAGATCAACGGTAGCGGCGGAGGGAGAGAGTGTTGTTCCTTTTCCAGGTAGCCCTTCTCGAAGGTCGTGCTTTGTGGTGTCTGTGTCCCTTTCCTCGGAGACCCCTGTATTTCTTCCCAGCAGAGGTGAGTCCTCGAAGCTCTCTGTGTTTGTGGACTGGGTTGCAGATCCAGTTGATCCTTGGGTCATTGCGGATTGCATTGTGGGCAGCATCAACCAAGATTACCTCATAGTATTTGTAAGTTGAATCCTGCATGAACGAAGAATGCACCCAAATACAAATATATATATATATATATATATATATATATATATATATATCAAAACTGTACATCGGTAAATTAAATGGTACAAAAAGTTCATTTTGAATCTATAATCCTAAGTACAGGCCCAAACCTGTGCATACAGGCAATTGCACAAGTTTATTATAATGCAAATGACCAACAAAAAACCTGCATAAATTTCAGGCATTTCCTCAAAGAGGAAAAAAATGAAATGGTGTAAAATCATGATATTTGATAGCAACCTATCATCATATGTTTTCACCAATGCATCTTTAAGGTAATACAGATTCAAACATCTGGTCAATATCTTAATTTGCAGGTCCCTAGTATGAGAAAAAGGGGTTGGCAGTAAGAATAAAATAAATACTTTATACGAACCTCGTTGATCCAGTAAGAGTTGAGAACCTTAAGACCACCGAGTTTCCTACCAGCACGTTCCTCTGCAACTGAGCGCTTGCTGCGCTGGAATTTCAGCTGAGTAACACCTTGATTAGTGGGTTTACCATATACAATACCCTTGGGAACTGGTCTCTTGCGTCCTCCACGTCTTACACGTACACGATAGACCACATAACCCTGGTAAAACCATTACTTTAATAACGAAGCACAACAAGACAAGCAGGAAAATTTATTTAAATACAGAAACAATTGTCTTGTCAAATGGTACAACGCATCATTTAGAGGGAGTGGGTGTGGGTGGAGACAGAGAGAGACACACACACTCGTCAAGTCGTCATCAATGGTATTAGGAGACAACTACCAAATAAATATATAAACTAAAAATTGTTTAACCAATCAACAAATTTTATGTTACATGTAACTTTCAATATATATATAAATATTAAGTCATATGATCATATCTAAGATTAGATAACAGAATTTTGAAGTGTAATATGGTAACACCACCAATAACCACTGCCAACTCAATGACCATATTTTTCCTATGACCATATTACATTCAAATGAGACCAAATTGATAAATGAGATATAACATCCATTCAATAAATGCATGATAAATTAACCCAACAAAACGAACATTGTGCTGCTAATGATCAAAAGATGAATGCAATGCATGAAGCAAACCAATTGCAGCTTTTGTTTAGGGAAAAAATAAATAAAAAGTCTCGCTTCATTGACAACATAAGAGAAATTGAACAATCACGCATTTACAAGAACTAAAGTATTCTGAAATTGGACTCAATCGAAATCATCACAACAGTATAGTGTATAACCATATTCTAAAATTAAATATAGTCAAAGTAACCAATAAATAATAAACATCTCCTGCAGAAACAATTAACAAAGTAGCAAAACATTTAAGCAGAGTCCTGACAGAACCCCAACATCAATAAACCACAAGGATGGTATACCTGCTTGGCCTTGTAACCTAGCCTTCGAGCCTTATCAGGGCGAGTAGGGCGTGTGACACGCACAATGGAAGGAAGCTGGCGGTATTCCCAACACCTCACCCTCTGCAAAAATCTCATCACATCCGACTGCTTCTTCCTCCATAGCTCCGACACATAAGTGTAAGCCCCTAATGTCACACCCAATTAAGAATAATAATCGCCTTAACATATCATAAACCAAATGTCCCTGCAATTGCATATGTGCATGTATAGGTATGTGTACGTGTGCATACATACATTCACATGTGCAAGTAATGTATTTGTGTGTATCATCATAAACTATTTTACTCTATTATATACATACACACATATATATATACATATATATATATATATATATATATATATATATATATATTGGCAAGTAAGCAGACCAACACTGAATACAAATTCACCACGTACCCAGTGGGCACTCAGGTTGTCAACTTGTATGTGAAGGATGGGCAGAAACCACTTGAGCTAACTATCATGAGAATTAAAAAAAACATACGATGAACAGTTCCAGTATTTTAAAAAATAAAAAATCAGCACATAATTTTTTTTTATATACTCGTATTTATAATAAGCAAAGGTGATAAAAATAATAAACAAATGGCGCAACTCACAAAATATTCTATCTATAATAGAGCTAAAACAAGGAGTCTGTGGACATATCCTCAAAAAATCATTCCAATTTGAAAGAACCCAACAATCAAAACCAGCTGCTCTTGAAATTAAATATTGAACAAATATAAACCAGAAAAGGTTCTGCCTAGTATCAAATCAGACACACAAGAAATGAAGAATGTACAATGCATTGCACATGTGTAGTTTCAAATATATATATATATATATAGAGATAATTGTATATATGTTGCGGATGAAGCAATCTCAGTACCATAGTCAAATACATCAAAAGCTAACTAACGAAACGTTAGGGAAAAATAGGCAAGTAGATCGAGAAATACATACCCATTGTTGTCGAATTGGTGGAACTCTCCCTGGCTTCGGCAGAGAGTTGTTGTGAGGGAAGTAAAATGAGAGTCGGGCTCTCAATTAGGGTTTTAGAGAGCTGCGTATGAGTTTGCTGAAAAGACCAAAACGACCATTGGTTTTTTATGGAAGTTGCCACTGGCAATGGGCTAGGGTTGCTACATTATTAACCGGGCATAGGCTCAAAATGTGGGCCCTTTCTTGACAATTCTATTTCAAAATTTGTAGGCCTAGTTAATTCAGAGCCCACTTCAGTTGGTAAGCCAGCACGGCCCAATCTGACTGTGAATTAGTTGGTGAAGTGACAATTTTACACATCTAAAACGAAGTTTAGGTATTCACTGGGTTAGGAACGAATTTGAATATATATATCAATAACTACTTTATTGTTTGAATTTTGTTATTTTAGTGATTTTTATTGTATTTACAATTTATTTTTTTCAAGGCAAGAAATAAAATTTCATTGTTGAAAAAAATTACATATGATTACCAACAGGTCAGTGGCCTAGCGGTATCAGGCTTTTTACCTATCAAAGGTTCAAGTTTTAGTGGAGGCATGTGTGTGTGTGAGAGAGAGTATTAACTTCAAAAAAAAAAAAAAACTGCTACTTCGAGAATCATTCCAGAATATTATCAGAAAATATTTTAGCACCATTTTCCTTCAACTCAGATGACTCAATAAATGGGTTGCTAATTGAGTTTCCGAGTTAGCTTTTCTACAAACCCAATTCAAAGAAACGTTAAACTAGATAAGTATGAGTAGCTTAGAAGACTCTTAGATAAATTTTTAAATAATGAAATAATTTTTTTTTTTTTTTTTTTGAAGTTTTAGTGGTCGAGCATATCAATGTCATGACATGTCAGGTGCACTCAATAATTTCTCAAATAGAGATTCTCTGTTTTGATTTGTGAATCAGCGGTAATAGTCTACTATTTAAATACTTGGCAATTGTAAGTTTACTAAAGAATCACAATGTCATATTATAATGATTTCCATTTACAAAGTACTTTTGGAGTCATCTTTAGTGGCCCTTTTAGGATGCACGTGATGAAATAAATAATTTTATATTATAAATATATAATTTTTATATATTTAAAACTTTTTTTCTTTTTTCTTTTTTTTTTCTTTTTTTTAAATTTGAATGTAATTGCTAGAATGGTGCACTATACAATTTATTTTCATTTAAAACTTAAAATATTATTTATAATTGTCGAAAGATTGTATTATATACAATTTCTTTGTATTTTAAACTTGAAATATTATTTATAACTCTTAACTATACAACTTCCTTATATTTAAAATTTAAAAATATTATTTATAAATCTTGAAATGGTAAAAAAAAAAAAAAATCAAAATCCTTCTAGAGAAGTCTGGCGGTATACTTTTATCTTTTTGTCCTCCTCTCCAAGTAACCAATGATGACATTCTGGAAGAAACTATTACATGGTAACCATTAATTTTGGCCAATTAATAGTAGATAAGTTGAATAAAACTGATGAAAAATTATCATTTATTTACGTGTCAACAGATGATTGGTCCGAAAACGATAATCCAAAAAATATGTAATAATTTCTCATTGGGACAATATATGCTCAATCCTCACCGTCGGATAAAGTATAACAGCCTTTATTATCTTTGTCATTGGTATCATAAATGCTCAATACTCACCGTCAGGTAAAGTATAATATAAAAGGCTTGGATTTATCTAAAGTAGGTATACAGTAGGTTGGGTTTACCCACACTGATGGTGCGCCCACAAACAAAATCTAACAAATAAATTTTTATTTTAACAGTTTTTTAATCAATGAAATTAATTTCATTTTTTTTGTGAAGTTTTTAGTGGCCAGGCATATCAATGTTATGACACGTTGGGTGCACCCAATAATTTCTCAAAAAGAGATTCTCTACTTTGATTTGCTAATCGACGGTAACAATCTACTATTTAAATATTTGACAATTGTAAGATTCCTAAAGAATCACAATATCATGCTACAACGGTTTCGATTTACGAAGTACTTTTAGAGCCATCTTTAGTGGCCCTTTTGGGATGGTACATCAAAATCTGGGATTTTTTATTTTTATTTTTTTATATATACTAGCATAATGCACGTGCGATCACGCGATGAAATAAATAATTTTATATTATAAATATATAATTTTTATACATTTAAAAATTGTGTTTTTTTTTTTTTTAAAAAAAAAAAAACTTGAATGTAATTGCTAGAATGGTGGCTATACAATTTATTTGCATTTAAAACTTAAAATATTATTTATAATTGTTGAAAGATGTACTATATACAACTTCTTTGTATTTAAAACTTGAAATATTATTTATAACACTTAACTATACAACTTCCTTATATTTAAAATTTAAAAATACCTAATCTTGAAATGGTAAAAAAAACCTAAATCCTTCTAGAGAGGTCTGGCGATATTCTTTTTTCTTTTTGCCTCCTCTTCAAGTAACCGATGATGATGTTCTGGAAGAAACTATTGCATTGTAACCATTGATTTTGGCCAATAAATAGTAGTTAAGTTGAATAAAACTGATGTAAAATCATCATTTATTTACGTGTCAACAGATGATGGGTTAAGAAATGATAATCCCAAAAATCTGTAATAGTTTCTCATTGGGATGATATATGCTCAATCCTCACCGTCGGATAAAGTATAACAACCTGGATTTATCTTTGTCATTGGTATCATAAATGCTCGAGGGATGCTAGCGTCAGTCGACTAAGGCACTGACGCTAACAGTCGTGTGATGTGTCAACAGCCTATTAGCTGCTAACTTTTATTATTTTTTATTTTTTTGTTTTACGGGCCTTTCCCTTTTTTTATTTTTTATTTTTTTAATTATTTTTGCTGTTTGTGTCGGCCATTCTCTCTCTCTCACCCTGCTCTCTCTGCGTTTGTTGACCCAAAATTCCTTCATCTTCCCCTTCTTCCTAACCCAAAAAAACTTTTTCTCTCATACTTTCAGCCTCTTTCTTTCTCTACTCACCGGCGGGTGAAGAACCCTTGCTACTTGCAAACCCATATTTTTCTCTTCCCTGCTGTCTCTTTCTATGTTGAAATCACAGGCGGCGAAGGACCCCGTCAAGCCGTACCACCACCCACATCACAGGCACTATCGATTTTTGGCAAAACATTTGCCTTTCTTTCTCAACCCAAACTTTAGTGGTCACCCTCACTTTTGCAAAATCAAGATCCAAACAAACACACAAAACCTGATCTTTGCAAACCCAATATTTTGTAGACCCAAAATTGTAATACCCCTAATTTTAAAAAGGATAGTCATAGTATTTTGGTTAATATTTAATTGCATTTTTAATAATTTAAATTGTTTATTTTGCTTTTGTATTTGAATATTTGAATTTATTTGAAATTACTGCTTTATTTGCTTGTTATTTAGTGAATTGTATTTTAATTCATTTAATTGTTTAGTTAATTGTATTTTTGGTATTTTAATTCTTTTAAATGCTTAATTGGTTTAATTTAGGGTTTTGTTTTAGATGTTAGGTCTTGGTAGCCGACGTAGATTTTAATTAAGATTCTCCATGGGCCGGTTAGGATTCATTGTAGGGTTTGGCTTGATTTTAGGTTCTGCATAAACCTATAAATATAAGTATTAAGTCTACTTAGGGTTTTTTTGAAAAAAAACTATTCATGACAGTGGAGGCAGAGAGAGAACAGAGGAGGATTTCAGTAGGACGTTGCCGGAGAACGTAGGAAGACGACTATGCAAGGCTAAAGGCAAGTTCTATACCTAACTCTCTCCCATTTGCTCGTGTTCTTTACAGGTCTAATACAACTCCAGGAACATATAATGATTAAAATTAAACTAAGTTGCATGTTTAAGATACTGTAACTAGGACATGTTTTCAAGTTTTGTATTATTTATTTAAATGCTTTCTTGCGTAATTCTTGTTCTAATTCATGTCCATTGATGTGTAAGGAGATTTATTATTCTGGAACACCTTAGGAGAACACTAGATTAAATTTGGGTGCATAGTTGAGTTGTTTGAAACAGTGGGATTACGGTAATGCTAGATTTCTCGGATTAAATTCTTTTTACACAGTGCATGTTTATGTTGATGTTAGGAGTTGTAATAAGAATTAAGTTGTCCCATGGACATTCTAGAACCTAGTTTAGACATCTAGGAACCCTGACCATGGAGGACGGAGGTGGTGGAAGTCGCCGAAGATGAAAACGATGAAGGAAAACAAGCAGAGAGGGAGAAAGGAGGAAGAAGCGGCTCCACGCAAGGTGGAGCCGGCTCTAGGGTGTGTGGAGGCGGCTCCATATGGAGTGGAGCCGGCTCCACACAAGGGGGAGGCGGCTCCCCATGTGGGGGAGGCGGCTCCTTCCCCTTTTGATGCACTTTTCGACGAATTTTGCTTCTGAGTTGAGTTTTTGGTCTGTTTGGGACATTCAGGGACTGTACTTGAGAGATTAAATGAATTATGTGATTATATAAAGACTCCAGAGGGTGTGGGAAGGAATAACAGTTTACTTAGGGTTTATAGGATTGAACCGTAAACAGTTTATAGCAAGATATGCGAACTGTTCTTGAATGCAGGTGGATTAAATTGCTTAAATTGTTGTAAAAACTTTCTGTGGATAATTATCAGTTATTAATCATGTTTTTGTGATATAAATTAAGCATGTTAAAATTGATATATTTTTCCTATGCTTGCTATGGAATGATCGGTGCTTAAATTGTCTTATTTATCGCATCAATTGTTGGACTGAAATTATGAGTACAATAACTGGTCAAGATTTAATACACTTGCTGTGGAGTTAATTGATATAGACTTTCAATCATGTTCTCTCAATTATAAGGATTCTGGGAATAAGTTGATATTTACATATACTGTTGTACTATCAATTGTTGGATTATTTGGTTGAGTAGTGTAATGCCAGTATGTTAAAATACGTAACTTTATTGTGCTCACTTGTGGAACAATTGATGTTTAAATTTACTATGTTTTATTATCAATTGTGGATTTTATGGATTAGTTGGTAGTTATCATTCGTATTTATTCTATCAACTGCTAGATGTATTGGATTCTATGCACCAGTATGGGACTGTGACATACCAGGGATGGTTTAGTTTCACAAATACTAAATCCAACCTGTATTGGAATAAGGGAATGGATTATAAATAAATCCTACTTATATTTATACTACGTCAAAGAAGCTGCATGAGCTGAATGACTAGCTGGATTACTTGTTAACTGTGTTGAGTCAAAGAAGCTGCACAAGCTGAATGGCCAATTGAATTTCTTATGGATGGATATGATAGGATTTTAAATATATTTTTATGGCACTACGATATGAGCCTGAGTCTCAGAGTCGTTGGTTAGGGAGCATATATGCGTTGGGATGCATAGCTGGCTACGATGGTTGGAGGTGTACCCTATTTAGGTTTAGGTACACATGCCCACTTCGTGTGCGTTTTTGCATGTTACCTCTATTCAGGTTGAGACCGGTCTGTAGTCCAGTGAGAGTCCTTTAGTGTGATTATATATATACATACGGACTATTAGCTATTGTGGAGTTGGTTATAATGTACATGCGTATCGAGTTTCTGCTTGGGTTGTAGTAGGATAAAACTTGCTCGTGGGCCTGACCCACTTATATTTTTCAGGTACACGACAGTTCCAGACTTAGACGTGTTCGTGCTGAGCAGAGATTTTATTCACTCTACTGACGATGTAGGACTTCTCTTCGTAGCTTACTTCTGGATGTCTTATCAGTTGTTTTTATTACTGTTTGGATTATTATTAGGGGTCCACTAGAGATGGATTCCCGAGTTGTACCCTTGGAGGTTTTGGAATTGGATTATTTAATCTTTATTATTTGAGGATTTTATTTTAGGTCTTTCAGCTTAAACTTTATTTCTTAAATTCATTTTGTCATCTGTGTTTGTTTTAAATACTTTAATTGTTTGATATTCCCTAGGGTTTGGGCCTGGGCTTGATCAACCCGTATCTCGAATCCGAGGGGTATCACAAAAATTAGCCGCGATGTCTACAACATTTTGAACCTGGGTTTTACCCCTACTTAAAATTAGAAAACCCTCTATTTCTCTCTCTAAATCCAACCCTCTCCAGGTAACACACGAACGGAAAATGGGTTATCTGTTTCTTCTGTTTATGTTTGTAAAACTAGGTTTGTTTTGGTTGATTGCTCTTTCTCTGCTCTGCAGATTTCTGGGGTTGAGGAGATGCGAGTAAGAGAGGTATTGATTTGGGTCTGCTGATAAGCGTTGAAAAATGCGCATTTAAACCCCTTAAGCTTGAACGTTTTAGGACCTTATTTTATCTTATTTTTCCGTTTTAGTCTAATTTCATGTTATTTCCCTTTTCAGCCACTTATCTCCAAAATAAGTCAATTCAGCTGAATTAGAGTATAAAAGATGCAATCTTAAGTTCAGTGGGAAAAAGGACTAAAGTGGAAGCAAAGTGGTGAAAAATAACCTTCTTCGATCGATCGAACATTTTTGATCTTATCCCCACCTACCACTTTTGTCCTTTTCCCAAAATATTCCGAAAATATCTTAGCTTTGTCTTTATTCTAAAAAGGCGCCGCCTTAGTTCGATCGATCAAATCACCTTTGTGATCAATCGAACTTCCTCAAGTGCGATAAAAACAGAGTTCCAACCAATTAAAAGGTGTGCTCGTTGTGCAATCATTTGAAGGTCCTAGTGCATGAGGTCTCACCATTGGGTGTGACATGAAGAAGGAGATCATTTCTACCATGGAGATAGCCCTTGAGGGTTTGATGACAACATCAATGAATGGCTAAACCATTCTCTTGGGGCTAGAGATAGCCCTAAGCATGTCTCATAGATTTTGATGTTTTGTAATTAAAGGAGATTTGTGTTGTATTTGTTACCTTGACATCTTATATATATAAAAATCTTGTTTCTATAATGATTTTTGTGGTTAAATACTTTCACTTGATCATTTAATTCTATTCATATGTCTATGTACGCTAGGATGAATGTTCATGTTTTTATTTCTAGATTTTGTGACATTGATGCATGTCTATGTGTGTTGATACTATGAATCTAGTGATGGTCAAGGCATGATGCTTAAATAGATTATTCTTTGTGGTTTGTTTGATGGTACATGCTTATTTTTTGATAAATTATGCCTCATCTTTAGTTTAATTAGTTTAATTTTCATGTCACTAGCTTAGTTGTAGTGTAGTTGCCTTACTTCCTTAGATAGGAGGACAAACCATGCTTATTGTTTGATATTCCATGCTTATGAATGCAAGTAGTATATTTATCTAATTTGGTGATGTACATTAATTGTGGACTTAAATGAATGAATAATGACTTAATTTGATATGTTGTACTATTCACTAGTTTGGCTAGACAATGCATGCTTACTTGACCATCCATGTTTGAGAATTCAATTTATGGCACACACTCTCCTTTGCAACATATAATCCCCCTAATCCATCAAAAATTGAATGTCTAAGAAGGTGGTGCTTAGTGGTGAACTCTAAGTCCCAACACATTTCTCTTATATTCTCTACACTTCATTTACTCTAGTTGTTTCGCATAAATCGAGTTTAATTAACCAATCAAACCATCTTTTGAACATTCGACCTACTAATTCGACATTGATTTCCAAGCAAAAATACACTTCATTTCCCTTGGGACGATCCCTACTTACTCTAGCTACATTAATAATTAGTAGTGATAGTGACATTCTATAAATTCAAACTTGGCCACACTATACACTTCATCATCTTTTGCATGCTTTTGGTCCACGACACGCCATCTGAAAAATATTGGGTTTTGGGTTTGTTCAACATATTGTGATGAAGGGCAAGGGGGAAGGAAAACAGGGTGAGAGAGAGAAGACCAACATCGTGGTTGTCAAAAGCGCACCTGGGCCCGCGCCTAGGCTCAAGGCGCCTACAGGTGCAGCAGTTGCGCCTCACAATAGCCCAGGCGCAGCGACCTCCATTAGGCGCGCGCGTGGGCTGCGCCTTCAAGCTTGTATGAGGCGCGCCTCAGGTATTATGCAGTATATATTTTCTTTGTTTAACTGTTTGTAATTTATATTATTATATTTAGTATATATATATATAGTTTTGGAAACTTAAAAAGGCTTTGGAAACTTGGCAACATATCAAATCAATAAAAATAAGCTGCAGAAGAAACGTGGAATGCCACTAACCCAGTCAAAAGTAGGAAAGTTAAAACTCAGAAGTGGGAAAGAGAAGAGAGAGAAAGAAAGAAAAAAAGAAAAGAGAAGAAAAGAGAGAGAAGAAAAGAGAAGAAAAAGTGAAGAATCTGGAATCTTGCCTCTTTCCTTCCGACGAGCCCACTACCCAAGTCAGTTTTAATTTCATTTAAGTTCCCCCCCCCCCTTCTCTTCTCCTCTCTCTCTCTCATCTGTTTTTTATTTTTTTCTGGTTCTCCTTTTTTTATTCTTTCTCGGTTTTTTTCTTCTTCTTTATGGATCTCTGTTTTTCTTTCTTTTTCTTCGGGCTCTATTTATTTTTCCTCCTCCTCTTTTCTTCTCCTCTACTCTCTCTCATTTGGTTTTTGTTTTGTTTTTTGTTTTTTTTTTTTCCTGGCTCTTTTTTTTTTTTTTTTTTTTTTTTTCTTCTTTCTTGTTTTTTTATTTTTTATTTTTTTTGTTTCTTCTTTATGGGTCTCTGTTTTTCTTTCTTTTTCTTCGGGCTCTGTTTAGGGTGTCAGATTATTTTTTTTCTTCTTTATGGGCTCGGTTTTTTTTTTTTCCTCATCTTCTCTTCTCTTCTCCTCTCCTCTCCTCTTCTCTATCTCTTCTGGTTTATTTTATTTTTTAAATTTTTTTTAAAGAAAACATTTGTTTTTTAATTTTTTCTGCACTTTCCTTGAGTTTAATATTCTATTTGGTTTGCTTATACAATCCCTGTCTGTTTGATTTCCAAGAAATTTAAGGAAAGGAAAATTAAAAAAAAATAAAAAATACTAAGGTTAATATTATTCTACTGTTTGACTTTCAAAGAATAAATAAAAATAAAAAAATAAAAACCTTGAAAAAATAAAAGGGTCAGCTGAAGTCAATCGAATACTCAAATTGTTGTACTAGACTTTAATTTAACATTGGAAGAAGTATAAGGACTCAATTTCTTCCTCTCTTTTCCTATGGTTCTTCTGCAACCAAATTAAGATTTTATTTCATTTGTCTATTTATCTATTAGTTTTTTTATTTTTTTTTTTGAATTTCTTCAATATGAAATTTAATAACAATTTAATTTGATGTCCTTACTCAATTGCATGCAAGGTTTTGTTCAAACTTGTGGTTTACATATAAGTGATGATTCAGATATCTCAAACTGTGTTTCTTTTTTTTTTTTTTTTTTTTTTTGTGTCTCTGTTTTTATTCATGTAGGGCCTCTGTATATTTTTTTTTCCTCCTTTCTGAGTCTTCTGTTTGGCCTAAAATGCTGCTCTGCTATGATGGACTAAATATATGCCTTTTATCTAGCCACTGATCATGCCAATTTTTTTTATATATAAAAATGTTGCTATGCTATACTGCTGTGATGGACTAAATATGTGCTATTTTTTTTTCTTCTTCATGGGCTCTGCTTGCTAGAATTTGCTAGATTATTTAAATTTTGAATGTTTGTGCCTGAATGCTGTTTGTTGAATTGCTTGAATGCTTGTTTGCTGAATTTAACTTGGTCCATTGACTCCATTCTATTTCTCATTGTAAATAGATAGGAAAAAATGTCAAATGATCCTGGTTGGAATTATTGTCACCTGCAAAACCCTCAAGATAGGAATGCAAAAACGTGTAATTTTTGTGAAAAAGTTATGAAATGAGGTATTTATAGGGCTAAACAACACATTGTAGGGGGATATAGAAATGTACAAGCATGTAAAAAGTGCCCTGAACATGTGAAAGAAGATATTAGAGAATACATGAGCAAGAAGAAAGAAGAAAGGAGAAAAGGAACACACAAATTTGTTGCCTGAGTTTGATGACATGGATGATCAAGATGAGGATGATGTAACAATTATTGATGCTAAAGGTAAAAAAGTGGTAAGTGGAACTGGAAGTAATAATATTCAATCAAAAAAGAAAAAGCAGAAAGGTCCTATGGATTTGTATATCACCCCTCCTCCGGAAGTAGTTGTGCAAAATAGAAAAAATGACAAGGGTAAGCAAACAACAATTGATAATGCTTACAAGAAAGAACTTAGAAACTGAGTATGTCAACGGTTTGCAAGATGGATGTATGATGCTGTGATATCATTCAATACATTTAATTATGATAGTTTTGCACCAATTGTTGAAGCTATTGGCCAACATGGTCCAGGAATTAAACCTCCTTCTTATCATGAGGTGAGAGTTCCCCTCCTCAAGAAAGAACTAGAGCATATAGACAATTTAATGCAGGATCATAGAGAGGAATGGGCAAGATACAGATGCACAATTATGGCAGATAGATGGGAGGATAAAAGACGCAGGTGTTTGATTAATTTTCTGGTGAATTGTCCTAAAGGGACAATGTTCATTCAATCTGTTGATGCTTCCTCTTATTCAAAGACCGGTGAAAAAATGTTTGACTTGCTTAACAAGTTCGTGCAGCAAATTGGAGTATCAAATGTGATTCAAGTAGTCACTGATAGTGCCTCTTCTAATGTTGTGGCAGATATAAATTTCAATATGTACTTGATGTGGAAATTTTAGGTTTATTACTTCTAGCCTTTTATTAATCCATATTTTCTTTCTTTACAATAGGGAGAATATTGGAGGGAAGGCACCGACATTTGTATTGGTCACCTTGTGCTGCACATTGTGTGGACCTGATGTTAGAGGACATTGCTAAGATCCCAAATATAATGACGACCATAAAGAGAGCTATAATGTTAAATGGTTATATTTATAACCGTTCAGGTTTGTTGAACATGATGAGGCATTATACTGGACATAAAGAGTTGCTTAGACCTGCAACGACTCAATTTGCCACTTCATTTATCACGTTATCAAGCATCCATCATCAAAAGGATTACTTGAGGAAGATGTTCATTTCACAATAATGGATCTCCAGTAAATGGGCGAAAGAGATAAAAGGGAAAAATGTAGCACAGATTGTGTTGATGCCTACATTTTGGACAAGCATTGTGTACTCTCTCAAAGTAGCAAGCTCTCTTGTTCGTGTACTTAAGTTGGTTAACGGTGAGAGAAAGCCTCCAATGGGATATATTTATGAGGTTATGAAAATGGCTAAATAAGCGATAACTAAAGCTTTTGGTGAGAATGAGGAGAAGTATAAGGATATCTTTAAGATCATTGATACTAGGTGGAATATCCAACTCCATCACCCTTTGCATGCAGCTGGGCATTTCTTGAACCCAGAATATGTTTATAGCAATCCAAATATTGAGCAAGATGAAGAGGTGATGGGTGGTTTATATCAATGCATAGAAAGATTGGTTCCAACCACTGAAGTACAAGATAAAATTTCTTTGGAGTTGAGTAGATATATGAAAGCTGATGGTTTATTTGGCTCATCAATTGCTGTTAGACAAAGAAAGTCAAGGGCACCAGGTAAACAAGTTAATTAATCATTTTTTAGTATATTTGAATTTGAATTTTGTTAATTTTTTACTAACAATATGTAAATAATAGCCGATTGGTGGTCCGCATATGGTTCCACAACTCCTAATTTGCAAAAGTTTGCTATTAAAATACTTATTCTCACATGTAGCGCATCTGGGTGTGAACGAAATTGGAATGTATTTGAGCATGTAAGTTTGTAGTTTTAGTAATTTAATGATAAAAAGTTAGATTATAAACAGTTATACACTTATACTTATTAATTATTTGAATTAATACAGCTTCATAGCAAGAAGAGGAACCGGTTAACTCAATGTCGATTGAATGATTTGGTTTTCATCAAGTATAATAGAGCACTAAAATGACGATATGACATGCGTGATAGGATCAATCCCATCATTTTAAATGATATAGATGATAGCAATGAATGGTTGGTTGGAGTAATGGATGAAGATGTAGATGCTGAAAATGAGTTGGTGTTTGAAGATGACTCTTTGACATAGGGTGCAATTGTTAGAGCTACCGAGGTTGGAGAGTCCAGCCATAATTTAAGATCAATATCAGCTCCAAGGGCAATAAAGAGGACATCACCTTCATGCTCGTTTTCACTACAAATCATAGATGATGATGAGGCAAACTCTGAGAGACAGAAGAGGAAGAAAATGCTAAGGGTTACAAATCTTTTGATGGGGACGATGATGAGACTATGTTGTTTGGTGAAGAGGATGATATTTAGGTCCCTTAAGATTGTTTGGTAACTTTGGTTTTAGGAGTCCTTGTCAAAACTCAAAACTAAAAATAATATTTTGTTACTTGGTTTATAGATTTGGTAGGCTACTAAGTATTGACTATGATATTTTATAGATTTGGTAGGCTACCAAGTATCTTTTGATGAATCTATTTTGGAGTCAAATGATAGTTTTTGCTTAAGACATAAGTATAAATTTATAATATATGGTTAATTGGTTTATGTTTTGCTTCTTTTGAATCTTTCTTATGAATAAATAGCTTTATTAGTTTAATTGTTCTATTTTACTGGTTGCTTTATTAGTTTAATTGCGATATATTTAGACTAATTTAGTGTTTTTATTATTGGATGTTCATTGTTTAATTGTGTTATTTTTGCTAAGAATTATTGTTTTAAAATTTTACTTGTGCACCTTACATCACTCAGGCTCGCGCCTCGCGCTTAGGTTCCAAGGGACCTCTAGCGCCTTAGTGCACCTTGGGTTTTTAATAACTATGGCCAACATAAAATAGAAAAAACAATAAAAGAAAATAAAGAAAAAGAGACCAGCACGAAAAAAATAAAAATAATAAATAATAAAAGTCAAAAACCAATAGGTTGCTGACACATCACGCGACTGTTAGCGTTAGTCGACTGACGTTAACTTCCCTCATGCTCAATACTCACCGTTAGGTAAAGTATAATATAAAAGGTCTGGATTTATCTAAAATAGGTATATGGTGGGTTGTGTTTACCCACATTGATGATGCGCCCACAAATAAAAATCTAACAAATAATTTTTTGTTTTAGCAGTTTTTTAAATAATGAAATTAATTTCATATTTTTGTAAAGTTTTAGTGACCGGGCACATCAATGTCATTACATGCCGGGTGCACCTAATAATTTCTCAAATAGAGATTATCTGTTTTGATTTGCAAATCGGCGGTAACTGTCTACTATTTAAATACTTGGCAATTGTAGGGTTCCTAAAGAATCACAATGTCATGCTACAACGGTTTTGATTTACAAAGTACTTTTGGACCCATCTTTAGTGGCCCTTTTGGGATGCTATATCAAAATCTAGATTTTTTATTTTATTTTATTTTATATATTCTAGTATAGTGCACGTGCTATATATGTGATGAAATAAATAATTTTATATTATAAATATATAATTTTTATATATTTAAGGTTTTATTTATTTTATTTACAACTTGAATGTAATTGCTAGAATGGTTGGCTATACAATTTCTTTGCATTTAAAACTTAAAATATTATTTATAATTGTTGAAAGACTATACTATATACAACTTCTTTGTATTTAAAGATTAATGTTCTTTGTATTTAAAACTTGAAATATTATTTATAACTCTTAACTATACAACTTCCTTATTTTTAAAATTTAAAAATATTATTTATAAATTTTGAAATGGTCTTCTTTATATTTAGAACTTTAAATATTTTTTATAACTCTCCAAATGGTGGACTTTGAAACTTGTTTGTATTTAAAATATTATTTTACAATTGTTGGAATTGTGGACTATACTATTTCTTTATATTTAAAACTTAAATTATTATTTATATATATATATATATTTTCCACAATTCGTGTTGTATAAATGAAAAAATTAATTACAGGTGCACATAGGGCATACCTCATAATGGAGACAAGCAAATAGCCATTACAAGAAATATACAGAGACTAAACCCATTTTCCAGTACAAAAAGAATAGCAAAAATTAGGACCTACTATAGCAAATTTTGGAGTGAAACATTAGTAACATCAATGACCTCAAATAAACACTGCTTAGCTACCTCCTGGGGAGATCTTGAAGCTAAAACATGTAGCCTACCATTTTTCTCTTGCTATATACCCCACAATTAGGGATAACAATTTCCTCTGACTCGGCGAGTTTTTGCCCGATCTCGCCCCTAGTGGGGCCAATTAATTTGGTAACTCCCTAAATGGATTTGGGACGGGTATGGTAAAATAATTGAAAATTCGAAGCGAGATTAAGGTGGGGGCGGATTTAGTGATGAATCCGCCCCGATTATATATATATGTACTTTTAATATATATATATATATATATATAAGACACTTGTTACTTTGTTGGGAGTGCGGCTATTATATTATTATTCCATCTTATTTATCAGTTTAATTTGAGCATATTGGACTAGTTGTTTTTTCTTTTTCTATATAATAAAAGTGACATAACCCGCCTTGCTCCGCAATTAAACGAAGTACATGGAGCGAAGTTGGTACTTTATTTACCAGAGTAGGGACGGAGTCGTCACGGAGATGGTATACCAATTAAAAATCCGTCTCGGAGTAGAGGCGGAGTTGGTATGACGAATTTTCCAATGGAGCGAAGTAAGATTTAGCCAAACCAGTTCCAATTTCGCCGCGTTGCCATCCCTACCCATAATGCATACATTGAAGAGGCGTATTAGAGTGTCGTTTGAACCACACCACGAAATCCATAAAACACAATCGTAGAAAACTGATTCACATCCCAACCTAAAATTATTTATAACTTTTGAAATTGTGGACTTTACAATTTTTTTATATTTAAAATTTAAAATATTTTTTGTTAATTTTTTAAATGTATTGTAATAATTAAAAATTATTTATAAATTTTGAAATTGTGGACTTTACAATTTTTTTATATTTAAAATTTAAAATCTTATTTGTTAATTTTTTTAAATGTATAATAATAATTAAAAATGATTTACACTTTTAATAATACTATAGTGTACATTTGATATTTGATAAAAATTACTCTAAAAGTAAAGAAATATTTAATAATCCTTACACTTTCATATTAAGTTTAAATTTATTTTAAGTATTGATATAGATTTATGGTAAGAACGAAAATTGATATTTAAAAAAAAAAAAAAATTGAGTAAAAATGTATAGAAACAACAAAAATGTTTTCTTTGTATGTTAATAACAATATTGCAGTGTGTGTGTGTGTATATATATATATTAAATTCAGCAATATATATATATATGTGTGTGTATGATTTTGTTAAAACGTCGTCTTTTAACTCAAAAATTATAAAAAGGGCATAACGAAGTAACCTTGTATTGTAATGCAATAAAAATCCTATAATTAACACCATGTAAAACAGTTTGTATTGAACAAACATTTAATAGTTTTGGCCATTCTTGTATAAGAAAATAATTTTAAATCAACAATACAAATTAACAAAGAGAATAAAAGAAAAAAATACGCGGTCCCTCCTTTTGTGTTGAAATTTAAAATCTTATTTGTTAATTTTTTTAAATGTATATACTAATAATTAAAAATGATTTACATTTGTAATAATACTGTAAGTGCTTGATATTTGATAAAAATTAATATAAAAACATAGTAATATTCAATAATCCTTACACTTTTATAGTAAGTATAAATTTATTATAAGTATTGATATTGCTAATATTGAAAAACTTTCCAGTTGCTCTATAATATAATTCTAGATAAGCTCTGTGTTTCTTTGTCTTCCAACCACACACATTGGGAAAAAACATAGTCATCCATATTTACTGTTTATAATGATTTCAAGTAATGAATATTGTTTGCGTGCCTGGTTTAAAAAATTCGAATATGTTACAAGCTATATATATGATGGCTGTCAAAGCCTCTATAGAACAAATACCATGACAAGAGGGCACATAGTTTGGATCACTAAGAATTGACTTGATGGAAAAAAACTCATTCCTACCAAGTGCCAATCCATGGATTTTAAATTCCATCACCGGCACGAACACTGAGATCAACCGTCTATATGGGTAGGCAATTAAGAGTACTTGGAGTAGAAAGTGAGGGAGATGTAGAGTGAGTTTAAATAGAAGAGAGCAATTGCATGTAAATCCACCAAAGGGTCTGAGAGATATTGCTGTAGAGATTGATGGCGGTGAGAAACAACGGAGGTTCAGGTGGCACATGAGAGCCATGGGAGGAATGAGGATGAAGGGGGATAGAGAGAGAAAGAGGAGGCAATGGTCAAGGTGGGTAGAGAGAGAGAGAGAGAGGCATGGTGTCGGGAAATTAAACCAAATCCAAAGAAGGTGTCAGGACTAATTATTGCTATTATAATATTATTTTTTTATTTACCCAAAAGAAAAATGATACTTGAGCTAAGGACAAATTATTACTATTATAATATTATTTTATTATTTATTTTTGGTCAATAATGCTGATGTCAGGCCTCTTCCAACAATGCACATCTCAAAATATGATTAAAATTCAAATTCATGAACTCCAAGATATGAAGTAAATCTTCGCCATTAGGCTATTCCCCTTCCCTTGAGAATGAAGGATGACTTCAATCAGAAGTAATTTCACCTACAGGTTGCTCTGCCGAGGACTTTGCAAAGATATAATTTTCGAAAAGTAAATAATTATTTGAAATCTCATCTAATCGACCACGATTTGAAATCTCATCTATTCAAACCAGTTAGTATGACCGCAAAATACCAAACTGTTAAACACATATCACCTGGATACTCACTTGAAATTAAAACTTTAGGGTCTAACTGTGAATCTCAGAAGTAATTTCCAACAAAGCTAAAAATTATAGCACTGCTCAGATAGTTTTTTTTTGATAAGTGGCTCAGATGTTATTTGAAATCTGATCTATTCAAACCAGTTCGCAAGACCACATGATATTAATACATACAGCCCTGGATACTCAAGGGTCTCAAAACACCTGAAATTAAAACCTTTAACAAGAAGGAAGAAATGATCTCATATCACAATATAATTTCAACCACAATATAATTTGGACCTTGCTATTTATCCTGGAATTATTTTTAAACAATGCAACAGGACGTGTGCTTCGCGATCCAACCCAAAAATTTAAGCTGTTGGATGGGACTAACACCCAACCCATATATACCTATTTCACTTCCCATCTGGATCCGTGGAAAAAGACTCCCCTTGTAACACAAGACCAGTACCAAATATAAAAACAATGAGTCCTTGTGTATTTATAGCACACATCAAGTTGAAGATAGTTCCTACCACATCTACCAATAAAAGGGCGTTGTCCGCACAGTACAAAAACCAAATAAATCAATTATCATTCTCCTAACACAAGGAAAAATATTGCCACTTACATTTATCCTCACCCAGTACTCTGCAAAACATTCAGACAACAAAATTATACAACACACACAATATTGAAAAGTGCGAACGATATTATAGCCATTCTATCAGACAATCTGTCTAAATATCTTACCATGGAACCCCATGAATTCAATACCTGCTAGCCTTCCTAATGAAGGATACTTCAAATTCAACCAATTAAGCCAACCCATCAAACATTTCTTCCTTGGTCTTCCTTAGAAAACATTTATTGGCTTGCTTAGAAAACATTTACCTTCGAATATATAAATATAACCACTGGCCTGGCATAAATATTTACCAAATATATGTGGAAAGTATGTTGGGAGCTACCCTTCACCAAAAGAACCACCATGGGTACCAGGCACAGTCGAGGGTTGTACTAACCCAAACCAGGGAAAGAAAAAAAGTAGATGCATATGCTGGAAGCAGTAAAAATTAACTCTTCTAGAAAACCTAAAATCTCCATTTCAATAAATTATGCTAAGGCAAACCCAGGCTCCATAGAGCAGCAGACGAAATATCTAACTAGAAGAGAAGAAAAAGCCGCTTAACAGAAGAGAAGCAAGCCAAATAGTTTTTCTAAGTGGGGGAATGAAGCATATGCTATCTGGCAAATAATCCATTAAAATATCATGAACAACATTTGCTACATAGCCTACATGTAAGATACGATAAAGTTAAAAAAACAGAACAGTGAAGCATCACAAATCATGCGAGCACAGTTAGTTGGTAAATCAAAACAAATACAATCCAAACTGGTTGCTAAAGTACCAAGGCAGACAGTACTGCTGTCAAGTACCCCAAAAAAAAAAAAAAAAAAGAAGTGAAACATGTTGACGTGGTGATTGTGTAAGATATATCCTATAGGAAATACTACTAGTGGATATAGTTCAGAAAATCAACAAATGACCAACTATTAGGTACATAATACACACACACACACAAAAATAAAAAGCATAACCTGGAATTTTCCCCTCAACCAACCCCAACAAGCAAAGGTAGTTATGTGCTTGAAAAAAATGCATGCATGCTTATGTGTTCGTGAGAGAGAGAGAGAGTAGTGGTACACTGGAATTGAATACGATATGTTTGAATGAAACAAAATATGTCAACAATACCCATTCATCTTGAGAGATACAATATACACCAGAAAATGCCAAACTGACACCGCAGCCAGTAACAAAGTGATATAATAAGAGTTGTATGTAATAGATACCATTCTGCTTAAATAACCACGAGTTCATACAACAAGTTAATATAATGACCCGCTCTTAGGAAATCTAAAGAAACTTTGATTCTGGATTAAGTAAGCGTTACCCCTTCCCAAAAACTACTCTCACAGAAAGGTACCCTGAGGACAAGAAGAAGAAAAGAGGAGAAAAAGAGTGAGCACTCTCTATTCTGCATAACACACACATGGATGGGGCAGGGAAGCCCCTTTGAGCAAAAGGGACATGACACAGATAGCTAGAACCTCTGATATCTTCTTTGATGATGGCCCATGAAGCTTGTGCAGCAACAAGCACCTTGCAAAACTTCTAAAAATCTCTAAAAATCTTCAACACAAGGTCAGAAGAAATGTTAAAAAAATTAGCAAATATGCATTTGGAAATTCTAAGAGACGATTCTACTTTCAGGGAAAAGGTTATCACACATCTATATCAAATAACCGGATAAAATCGGAAACAAATCCATATAAGCAAGGACACCACACCAGATGAGTTGAAGTCATGCTTAGTTCATATGAGGATATTAGGATAAATAGAGTACTTGTTCACTTGTGGTTTCCAATCAATGAATACTCCGAAATGAACGAAATTGTAGAACCCCAGATTTCCACTGCCATCTGAAGACCCCACCAACATCTGATGCAGGCTTCAAAAAATAATCCACTTTACATTTCATAGAAAATAATAGGATTAGTTCAGGAAGCAGCAGCTGATCGTTCTTTCGTTCAGTAATCAGTATGTTTACAAAATCTAAGCTCACACGAAGTTGAAGTTTAAAATGACCAAATAGATCCTTTTTATTTGATGAAAAAGTGAATGTTAACAATACCTAAGGAAGCAATTGAATAAAATGTCCCACTACATTACCATTTTATTCATTGGCACACTTTTTTTTGTGGCATTCTATACTACCACTTAACATTTAAAATTCCATAACAATGGGCAAGTCTCATAGTTAGAGGAAGATCAAGCCAATAGATTTATTTATTTAATTTATTTTAAAAAAGTGCTCATCTCAACGGAAACTCTATACAGCCCAATAAAATTCTAAAAGATAACATAAGTGATAAATCTTGAAACTCAATCGACAACTCGCACAAGGCCAAATTGTCCAATAAATGTCTAATCTCATTATTGAGCTACCAGGTTAGTTGAATATGAAGTGGCCGTTTTTAGCAAGGTTATAGTAAATTTATCTTAAAAAGCAACTTCTCAAACCTATCAGTATCTCAAACATCGAATAATATCTTAATATGAAACCCCTATACTATGCCATCACTAAAAAGCCTAGAAAGTGCATTCAACATACTACAAATCCCTTCCACTTGCACTCAAAAATACATTTAGAGAGAGAATATTGACCATCAGAGGTGTTTCACATGAAGTCTCTTTCTTGTACATGTCTACCCCAAACACGAGTTTATGGTTAAAAAGGAAAACAATTATTCTGCCCAAAATCAACTACCAGCATATACCAACATACACCTATTATACAGCAGTATATAAAATCTGAAATATGGTTGGAATCCTACTCTACACTCGTCATTAGTCCTCATCAACTCAGCTCAATTCAACATAACATAGTCCAATCGGAGGCCAGTCACGTAATTTATATGTCGTAATTCTGACCAAGCCCAGATTTCTATTGAAGCGTGGGCCATCCCTCTGGTCCTTCCAATGGCTTCAACATATTAGTCCTCAAAGTGATTGATCAACTTCAGTTTTGCAATTATTATTGAAACTGAGTTCCTACGTAGGTGTTTAGTCTTCAGAGAGCTGACGAATGCAGGATAAATTTAAGAATGGGGTCAGCCCACTAATTGGTAAATTTTCCCCAAACCCAGCCCATGTGCTGGGAATCTGTACACTCCCCCCAATCCCACCCACCCAAAAAGGAAAGAAAGAAAAAAGGTGGTCCTAATGAGAGGTTTAAACCTGCCACATCCTCTTATGGGGATGGACAGGAGAAACGACAATGGGTCAATTAGTCCATGGAGACTCAATCCAATTCTCATAAGGCCAACAACAGCAAACATGGTAGTAGTTTCACCTGCCACACGTGAACTAAAAATAGAAATCAGGTTAACACTGTAAAATGCTAGAACACCAATAAATATGAAAACGAAAGTAGAACCATAATTACTAGCACATACCCCCCAATACCTTCATATTTCAATGCATCACCTTCTGGACAGGGCCGCAATAGAGGCATGCATCAGGTGCTTCGGGAACACAGCAGGAAGGGTAGCTTATGGTTGTCACAGTGAAGAGTAAGTATTATCAATTAAAAGCATACAAGCTAACAAAAGCAGTAAACAAAGAATTCAACCAGCCCACTGAATCAAGAAATAAAGAAAGTAAGGAGGAGGAAGAAGGAATAAGGAAGAAGGAAGAAAGAAAACTATAAAAAACACAAAGTATTAGTAACAAACCATTAAGAAAGTTCAAACTAATAGACATAAAATGTTAGAAACCGTAAGCTATAAGCAGCAAAAACCATCCAAACAACAAAATGAAGTCCTATAAAAGGTCCTCCAAATACTAAGAAGCGTCTGAATGATTACTCCAACATATTACTGAATCAACTGAACTTTTAGCCCAAGTCTCTGCAAATGGAATAACAGTACAGCAAGGTTAAAGATGTGAGTCCCAAACTTCCAACAAGAATGCATTGCAAGAGGTAAGAAATCAGGTTCACAAAGTGCTCCAAGAAATCATGCCTGTAAAAATATTACAATAATAACAAAGAAGAAGTGTTAAGAAATGTGATAACAAGAATAACGAAAAGTTATGCAGTGAAAAGTGAACAATGTTATATTTTTTTAATTAAAAAAAAAATGGTTTTTCATAAAATATATTGAAGAAGACAGGAAGACTACTCCAAGAAACAGGAGTAAATGCGCACTCTTAACATGGATAGGAATGCCCAAGCAGGAAGACATCCATAACTGCACAATACAGCTTGCAAAATAGTTCATATGAAGATAAAAAGATAATCTGTTGAACAAAAAACATATTTGGGAGAGAAAATAAGTACCAGCAGAAAGAAATAATGTTTTCACTATTAAAATGTGGTTAAAACTACATACATAGCTAGAAGGGATGTTGTTTCTCTGTGAATGCTATAATAATATAACCTATAAGGATGCTGTTAGTGACACACAAAACAGTCTCAACATCTGGTTGAACTGGATTTCTATATGGTCTGTAAAAGATGATCTTCATAATCTCAATTATAATCAAAGCTTAAAAAAATTTTGAACTATAATATGCACCGTGTACTTCGTAGGATTTTTCGGGGGAAAATTCCCAAAGAGATGGTAGGACGAGAAAGCTAAAATGCATCCCAAGTAAAAAGATGTCTGAAGTTCAATCTTATGGCTTTCAACACAATAACAAGACGAAGTTTTCCCTGTCTCTAATATTAGATCCCTTAAATAAGACTATTTTTGGACAATTTGTGGCAAAAGAGTTGAATGAACCACTGTGATGGTCCAGCAGACCATAGTAAATGGCATACACAATGTTCAAGTTTTTTGCAACAGTTATAAACAAATCTTGTAAAATCCAGCAATTCCCCCTCCTATCAGCTCCAGGCACAGAAACTAAAAAAACTTGATTTATGTACCGATATAGGGCCAAAAAAAAAAAGTAGGAGTAAACCAAAAAACAAAGCAAGTAATAAAATTCACCATCTTAAAAAAAAAAGTATATTAATAACTATCTCATAAAAAAAGGTTAGAAAAGTCAGCTCATAATTCAGTCAACTTCTCTCTTTGGCATTTGTACCATATAGAACATGTTGGGTAAACCATATCAACCGCAAAAGGATTAAACGGCTAATCAGCTGATTGAATACATCCTAGAAACCTTAACAACAATTATGAGATCAGCACAAATTTTTTGCCCAGGTTTTCAGTTTTGTAGTTAGACTTAAAAAGGAGTTAATCCATGAAATACTAATTTTAGACATAACATATGAGAATCTTAACTAACATAAATGATGGAATTTTACATTACCCTCAATGAACTTAGAAATTTATTGATCCATAAAAGGTTTTTGGATGTTTATCAAAAGATGTTACCATTAATTTCAGAAGACCATTTCCTTGGCATATGTTTTTCGGTACTTCCTATAACTGATATATATATATATATATATATATATATATATATATATATATATATATATATTATCATAATAACTACGATTTCATGTTAGCAACTACCAAAATATTCCACCCATGTATGGCCAAATATATTTGAGTCATTTGACATGACTCGCTAAGTAACGTCCACAAAATGAAATTCCTGGGAAAATAGAGGTTAAAGGATATGCAGGAAAAAGCAAAGGTTCAATTGCTAATGGAAATGCCTTATGCCTTCACATGACTTGGGGTAAAACTAAAATGATCCTTGTAGACACATTTAACCCCTCAAAAAGGGATGTCTTGTATTGTTTTTCTCTAAACTTCCATAAAAACATATAAACATTGAGCCTACATGTATTTTGCACAAGCGTACAACCTAACTATGAACAAGTAGCTAAAAAATGACCCAATCAGGCCACATGATTTAATGCGTATTTAGCATATTTCCAGCCGATACAGGTGGACGGAACTATCTGTTGGACCAACCAAACTGTCAAGTATTAGAAAAAGAATAAACAACAATGAAAAGTAAAGAAAAAGGAAGAGAAAGGAGTGGGCTCACCTTTTGACCCAAAGCTACTATTGACAGAATCACATCATTTCATTTCCGCCATGAACTTCTCATACTCAGCATCCGTACCAGATATTGTCTTCTCGGCAGATGGAACAGGTGGTGGAACTGAAGGATTTGATCCCCACGGCACATTTCCAATGCTCTGTGAATTATCCACATTTGACTGAGTCATAGTAGGAGGAGGAGGAGGAGGAGCTACACCATAGTAAGCTGGGTAACCGAATGAAGATGTTGGATATGCAGGTATTGTCGGAACTGCAGGTACAGAGGTCCCATAGATATTGGTAGGAATGGATTGAAGTTGTACAGATGTGTTACTTTGAGATTGCACTCCAGGTGGGTAACTCTGTTGAGCTTCACCAGAAGATACAGTCTGTGATGGGGCACCAGAGGATATTGTCTGGACTGGCCCAGGATATTGTATTCCATAACCCATAGGTTGACCAGGAACAGGAGTGTACATAGTTGGTCCAGGAGGGATATGTGTGTAAGGAGCATAAAGATGAGGTACAGGTGGTCCCCAAGGAACTGGAGCAACACCAGTACTCCCAGGAGGCATATTCCCAAGGGGTCCACCTGCAGCATACTGCTGGGATGGATAGGAAGCAGCAGCCTGATTAGGACCAGGATAGGTAGGCATTGTTGGAGCAGGAGGACCTGGAGGCACAGTGGGAGGCTTACCAGCAACTCTCACAGCAATTGATCTCCCATCTAGACGGTAACCATTCATTTTACCAATAGCGTTATTGGCCTGCTGAACATTAGAATACTTCACAAAACCATAACCTTTGCTCAATCCAGTAAGCCGGTCCTTGATAACCTTTGCCATCACAATATCACCAAAATCAGAAAACAATTGGATCAAACCATCATCATCAAGAGTAGGTGGCAAGTACCCAATGTACAGATTTGTATCATCATATTCTTTTGTGGGCTTAACTCCATTTGACCCTAAGCCTGGGTGTGAGGTGCTCCCAGCACTTCCAGCACTGTTACCATTGGCCCAAGGAGGATTGCTTCCTGAACTGCCAGAACCAAGAGCCAGTGTTCCCGAGTTTTGCTTGGTCAACGAATCAGGGACAGTCCCTCCCAACTCTGCCAAGAAGTTCTGATATTCATCATCCATTTTCTTGCCTGTTGTTCCCTTCACTGGACAATCAATAGTAGGGTGCCCACCATCACCACATATTTTACAAAGAACATCACTTTTGAAAGTCGAAAAACGAGAAGGACAAGCAAATTGTCGGTGACCAGGCTCACCACATAATCTACAGTACTCCTCATCTCTTATAGTTCCATTCAAAGCGGCAAGTTCCCTAAGTTGCTGCCTCTTATGCTCATTAAGAACTTCATCTACAGGCTGTAAAAGCTTCTCCACCATACCTGCTGCAGCTTCGAGAGCTTCTTGTGTCTCAGCTTCTACTAAAACATGTAAATCCTCATTTTCTGAAGGATCAGGTTTCAAGTCCCTTTTTTGTTGTAATCTACCTTCTTTCACCGACCCTTTACCCCGAATCACAATTTTCGCTCCAGTCTCTCTTTCCATTCTCTTCTGTGTGTTCCCCCTTGGCCCAATTATAAGTCCAATAAAATTATAACCTGGGTATTCTTTCATGGGTATATAAAGCTTTTTCTGAAGCTTTGGAGGCCGGTAATCAGCAGGGGGCTTAAATGCAGGGTTTTTCTTAATAATCTGTGATATAATTTCTTGCCTCTCTCTAGTCAACCTTTCACGGGCTCTATATTCTCTAGTGTTTATGCGAATTCCCATGTTATCATATATTGGTTCAGGCGAAGGTGAGCGAGCACCTTCAGGTCGGTCATCTAAGGGCAGACCAGATTGTAACTTTCTACTAATCTCAAGAAGCCTACTATTAAGTGCTTGGATTTCTGGGTCAAATTCAATACCTCCAGTGAAATCTTTCATGAAATCAGGCAGCTGAATGACCGGTTTTGGCTCATCCGCCCATCTCGACTTCCTCTTCCTCGGGCCCATCCCACCACCGTCGCTGCCAGCACCGTCATTTGATTCAGTCGGAGGAGGGTCCCAACGACTTCGACGCCTACGCCTACTGGTGGTTTCCTCCTCTCCACCCGAGTAGTCCTTGTCGGTGCCACTGTGTGTGTTGGTTAAACCATTTTCCGACAACAACGGCTTCAGAATCTTGATCTGAGTTCCATCCGATGACTTCTCTACGGTCACCAAATGTCCGTTATCGTTAGAAGCCGTTATTTGAGCAGAATTCTCCTCCAAACCTCTGGTTTTTGACATCGGATCTTGATTCTGATGATTTGAATCCAAGGTTTCTTGAGGATTCTGACCACCCGAATCTAGGGTTTTCTCCGACTGATGTTGTTCATACGAACCTAGGGTTTCTGATTCACTCTGCCCATAAGAAACTAGGGTTTGTTCCGGATACTGATCATGTGTAACTAGAGTTTCTGAGTGATTCTGAATATTACAAGAATCTGGGGCTAGTGGAGGGTTTTGATAATGCGAAACTAGGGTTTTGGATGAGTTGTGATCTTGGTTGTCCGAGGGAAGTACGGATTGGGGTTGCGAATTCAAAAGACTCGATTGAATAGCATCCATAGGGTTCTTCAGTATCAGAATTTAGACCGAAGAAGATAATAGAGAGAGAGAAAACAAAAAAAAAATTCTAAAGATGGGTGACAGAAATGTGAGCTTTAGAACATTTGTTGCAGACGATGGATCTTGAATTTGACGAGTTGGAAGAGAACAAACTAATTAATACGGGGTAATTATTTACGGGTGTTTGAGAAGGAGATTCAAACACGTACTCCTATGTTATCTAGGGTTGGATTCGGATCTTCAGGGATCTGGGCCTCGGCCCACTATAAAAGGCAGTTAGGCATTTGTTCTCTGGAGACGCGGTGGGCTGGTCTTTTACAATTTATTTATTTATTTTTGTTTATAAAATAATAAGGGTCCGTTTGACATGCGTTTTATTTTGTTTTTGGTTAACACAAAAACAATGTTTTTGTTGTAGGAGTGTTTAAAAAAATAATTGAAAACATGGGGACTATATTTTGCTGTGAAAATGGGGAAACAAAAACATGCAAAACATGTTTGGTCACACAAATATATATATATACCAAATATATATATAATTTTGGCAATAAATTATTTACGAGTTCGTAGTTGCAGAGAGCGGGGGGCAAGCTTGAGAGTTGAGAGACAGTGGGCCAGAGGCTAAAGCTTGCGAACGGCGAACCTTAACTAGAACAACAGGCGATGGAAACTGAAAGATATAGGTTTTGATTTTTTGAACAATCTGAAATGATATGCCGATATGAGTTTTGATATAGGTAATAGGTTCTGATTATATAGGTAATAGGTTTTGATTCTTGCAAACAGATACATAAACTGAAATTCATGGGTTTTGAACTTCTGATTCTTGTAGATTTTGTAGTTTGCAATTGCCACAGAGAGGGAGACCCGGGGGGGGGGGGGGGGGGGTTTGTTCAGATATGAGAACGAGAATAGAGATGGAGGCATTATTTATAGGTAATAATAGGTTTTGATTCTTGCAGACAGATAAATAAACTGAAATAAATGGGTTTTGAACTTTAGATTCTTATAGATTTTATAGTTTGCAGTTGCAGAGACAGAAAGAGGGAGTTCATAGTAGAGAACGAGAATAGAGATGGAGGCGATTGGAAATGATTTGCGACTCGCCCAAAATTGCCAAGAGAAGCTTCTCCAAAGAAAACCCTAGAAAATGACATTTTGCCTTTTATACGTGTTATACTTGCTACAGTTTAATAAGAGAATTGTTTCCTCCGCTATAGTAATTTGTAGCCCAAACAGTACTGAAACATGAAAAAAAACCAAAATGGTGTTTCAATTTTTGGGCCTATTTTTGAAATTATTTTGCAACTATTTAAAACACATTAAGCCCAGCCAAACATGTTTTGGGGTTGAAAGAGATTACTGTAGCAGGCTTAAAACAAAACAAAACAGATGCCAAATAGACCCTAAAAATTTAGAGGATTCGGATCTTCAGGAATCTGGGCCTCGGCCCACTATAAAAGGTAGTTAGGCATTTGTTCTCTGGAGACGCGGTGGGCTAGTCTTTTACAATTTATTTATTTATTTTTGTTTATAAAACAATAAGAGTTGATACAAAAAAAAATTAGAAAATTTTTACAGGTGCCAAAAAAAAAGAAAGAACTATTGGAGTTGATAGGAAAAAAAATCGAGCACCGAGAAGTGTACTCCCGCCCAAACTCACCTTCATTGTCATCCCCACTCATGTCAGATGCAAACAAAGAGGGTGTTTGACTTATTTTTTTTGGTCGAGTTTCAAGTATCCAGTTTATTACAATTAATAAATCCCCAATAGATTACCTTTTTTCGTTCAAATTAAACTTTTACATGTTAAAAAAAATTATTACTTGCACCATTGCATGTAAAGATTTCGTACATCTTGACCATGGTTCACCGTATCGTTTGATACACGACTTTTTTTCAAGTCCGATATGTGACTCGTATTGACCAAGTTATACTAATTTTATCCAAGTCCGTTACATCGCGACCACGACCACTAATGCCAATAATGATCTTAACTACAACAAATTTAAGTAGTTAATTTGCCTATTTTGTGCCTAATGCAATAACTTTACATCTTGAATGCAACAAATCTCTCTCTCTTTCTCTACCCAGTTTTCATTAGATCTTTTTCTCTCCTACCTCTCTCTCTACCCAGTCTTCGTCTTTTTCCCTCTGTGCCTCCCTTCCATGGGAGTGGGGAGATGATAGCTGCCTCCCACGAATGGAATAAACTCGACGTGTTTCAATAAGTGTGCTCTTCTTTTTTTTTTTTTTTTTTTTTTTTTTTTTTTTTTTTTTTTTTTTTTTTCGGCTAGATCTGCTCCTGTTGGGTTCATTTTCGGCTCACATGGGTGGATCTGTTATTTTCTCCGGCTAGATCTTCGATCTAGATCAGTTTTGGGTTTTCTCCCGCCTCAATTTGATCTTTTTTTCCTTGATTTGATTTTGTACGGAGTTTTGGGTGTCGGAGTGCCTTGTGGCTGTAACCTTGGAACTGTTGCCTTGAAGATGGCCTGACTTTTGTGTCACTTCTGCTGCTACGTTCTCTTATGGTGGTTCCATTTCAAAGTTTTAGATTTTGTTTTCTTTATAGATCTGGAGCCTGTTCTTCATTTTATTGCTTTGCTTTATGATTTGTATGCCTATGCCTTTTCTGGCTTGACTTTGTGCTTTCGTATTGCCGTTGGCTTGGCATTTGAAATGACAAAAAAAGAAAAAGAAAAGCAACAAACCGTTAATGCAAAAACTTTAAATTTACAATGAAACAATTATGCAAACACATTCAATTTAATAGTGCTATAATGTTGAAACACTATATAATACGTTGCATTGGTGTTGCATCTTCGATATAAATTTGTTATATAACTTTTACATCATTATTACATGAGCATTGCATTGTGTTACACCAGTGTACAACACAACTTCGGAATAAGTGCACATACAAACATTATTCGCAGAACACCCTTGTAATATGGTAGGGGTGTGCACGGTCCGGTTTGGACCGAATTTGGAGTATTTTGAGACCAAACCATTTATAACGGTTCCATCATTTTTGAAACCAGACCAAACCATAAAGTGTATGGAACAAAACCAAACCAAACCGCGAAAAATCGGGTTGGTTCGGTTTGGTTTGTCGGTTTCAGTTGATTTCCCTTTTATTATATTTTAATTTAGAGGGGGCAAAGTTATATATATATATCAACTAACATTGATATAACACGCCAAAAAAATAAGAATTTTAATAAGAAATAAAGGAAAGAAAATTAAGATATATTTGAAAGGAAAGAAAATTGAAAATTGAGATATATTTGAAAGGAAAGAAAATTGAGATATATTTGAAAAGGGAAATTTGACTTTAAAAAAAAGAAATTTAAGGAATTTAACGGACAAAAGAAAGAAAAGGGGCACGTGGGAACTTTACTTGATTTAGGTTTAGAATATAATATACATATATATATATATATATATATATATATATATATATATATATTATATAACATAATAACGGTTTGGTCCGGGCTGGTCCGGTCCGACACGACTCTAAACCAGGACCAAATCGAAGAATTACGATTTCATAATTTTAGGCTCACGACCAGACCAAACCGCTATATAGCCCAAACCGTCCAACTCAGTACGGTCTGGTCTGATTTTTCGATTTACCGGATTTTTTGAACACCCCCATGTGAGTATGATGAATATAAGCTGATATTGGAAGGATATATATGTGACTAATCACAATCCTTCTTTGCACATTTTCTAGCTGCATGCTATAATTGTTTCTATAGTATAGTTCTATTTTGATTAAGCCTAAGAATTTGAGGTACAAGAAAATCCTAAACGAACCAGACCTTTTTCCCTAGCCTTTTGGCTTTGGGCCTTATTTCAATCTCTTTGGCCACGGACTGGACTCCATGACACCGCGTTACACATTTACTCTAGTATGCCTATTTCCTTTTGCTGTGTGAAATCTCCTTATCTAAACAGCTTCCGAACGAGGGATTGATTCTCTTTTTGTGGCCCTGTGAGGGAATATAGGATGAGCTTTGCCAGTCTTAAATGTTTGCTGGGGTTCTCCAAAGATTATATGCACAATATCCATGATACAAAGATTATCAAACTTCTTCAAGAAATCCAGAACAACTAAAATTATCAACCGGACAATTCGTGTGAACATATTAGAAATTCAAGTGACTCGAGACCGACAAATGAAGCCACATGATACAATTACAAATTGTAATTTATTTCATAATATAAGAGAACATATGGCATTAATTACACTTCATGAAAAGTGAAGCTTTCAGGAGTTTGTTCTATTTGGATCACCATATGTACAAGTATAGATGGAGGGTTGCAGCAGCAGCAACAGTGGTGAACACCCCAGAATCAACCATCTGCTTCACCTTTACATCAACCACAAGCTTTTATATGGCTAAGCCAAAAAAGAAAATGTCAAAATCAGCAGCAAAAATTATCTAAGTACTGAATCACAAGGACGGTATGGAGCCAAAATAAAGAAAATGCAAACTTTAATTCAACTCACATGTTGCTAATAAATGAAATGCCAGGTAACGTTACCAAAAATGGAAGAGAAATAAACAAACAAGCAAAATAAAAGAATGGATCGATGCAAGGTCAGCAAGGTTATCAGGCCAAAAACAAAAAAGAACCAAACGGAGAAGAAATGAGGTCAAGGAACTTCATCCTTCAGTAACTCTTTTGCACTCAAAAGTTTTGGTGCCAACATCAACGGGAATATGACAATTGGAATGACCTGGTCATGGTCAATATTGCAACTCGATCTGTGTCATATATTGGTATCAGCCGATACACAATTTATTAAATACAAGTCCCTAAAAGTTCTAAAAGAAAAATTAAAAAATTAGAACCAACAAATGAAATCAATAATAATAAAAAAAACATCTGACATATATAACATGATCCAAATGATCAGTACAAGCATTACCAAATCAGTCTACTAGTAACATTATGTTATAGTTTAGTAATAAATATCCAATGCAATGCTAAAGGACACATGGGCAAAATAAAGAGCTACAATCATACAAATCATTCATCAGCCTAGTAGTTACTGCCATTGTCATTATATGACAAATTTACATAAGAGTACGTAACCATTCCTATTGAACCTGAAATTGAAATTAAGTTAGAAAAGAAAAAGAAAAACATACCCATCATTTTCTTTTTCTAAATTTTTCAACATCATCATCATCGTCGTTTTCGTTATTATAATTATTCTATTTTTTGGTCTTAGAGGAACCCAACTACTCAAGTAACAAGCCTTGATATGTGTATTTGCTGGACAGAAATTGAAAAAAAAAGGAGAGACTTTTGAGTGGCGTTTAATAGTTGTAAAGTAGAGTAGATAGACTGTAAGTGGGTAGGGAGAAAAAAGGATTACTGAGTCAAATGAGTGGCTGGGCAGTGCCAAATACATTTCTTTTTGCAGAAAGATGGCAAGACAACATTGCCTTGGTGAATCTTGTCAAGTTGAGTGAGTACGTCTTATGTGAGAGACAAGATGCCTCACTATACCTGGTGAGACAGGGTCATCCTACATATGCGTATTAAGTCGCATTACTGGTTTGACAACCAACAAGCTAACAGAACTTGGCTCATGGACTTGAACCCTGATGGACACCCACAAAAGGCGGTGGCAACTTTCCTACTAATGCAGGTGTTAGTAACATTCAAATGGAACAAAATTGAGGGACCAGGTAGCTGAATTTTAGTTGTCAGAATTTACCTGAAAATCATGTCCGGGAACTGCCAAGATCAAAGTCCATGGTGTAATCGTATTCAATAGTTGGAATCACAGAGGCCACAAACTTCAAGAATAAGAAGAGGTACCTACAAAAGTTGGTGTTTGAGATTAAAAATTAGAAATAAGAGGGGAAAAAATAGAGAGCAGAACCCGAAACATCAAGAAAAGATAAGTTAAAATACTGAACACAACTAATTTGTAATGAGTTACAGTGGAAGACAGAATCAATCACCCCAAATATTTAGCAAGCACCGTGTCCATGAACTGTACCAGAAAATGTTGAAATCTCATCCCTTGACCTTCCGTTACAATGATGGGGATTATAGTTAAAATCACTTTCAGTAAAGTAACCATTTAATGTTATATAACCTTTTCGATTCATTTTACTTTTGTTGTATTTATCATATGATTGTATAAAAGGAAGAACGCGAGGTAAAAGAAAACACAGAGTGCAACTTCTGACCCAACCTGCAGTCTCAAGTTCACCCAATGGATTGGGTTAAAATTAAGACTATGATAGTAAATATAGGTCTCCAACCAGACTTGACCTGACACATTGCCACCTCTAATTCAGAAGCAAGTACAAGTAGAATCACATTTACTTAGTGTGAATTAGAAGGCCTCATAAAAGGCATCAAAACAGCCGATTTCATACTCTTTGAACCCTGCTGTGAGAGGCAGATAACTTGTCTTAAAAGCCACGGGAATTGCGCCATAGAGGAAGAATGTTTGGTTGTGTAAAAGGTAGATGAGTTTGGGAGTTCTGCCAGTGGTAATTCTGGGAACGAGGTTAGGGACAGAGTAAGGGGAGACTTCTTAGTAGAAAGGCGGTTAGGGACTGGAGGGATGAAAAAGAAAACACTTGCCAAAAAAAAAAAGATAAGAGGAAAGAAAATTACTTGTCAACTTCTGGCTCCACTCCACGTGACATCAGAACATCAATGATTTTCTTCATCACAGCCCCATGTCGGCATGGATGAACAGATGCATGTTTGCCAGGCAAGTGTGGATGGTCTTCAATGGTCACCTGAGTTTAAGTTTAGAAAAAATTAAATATTGTCCAGAAACTCTATAAATAAGAATCAAATACAGTCAACGAAATAAAGAATTAATAGACAAACTAATCTTTTGAAACCCCAAAACTTGGCAGAAGACAACCTAGATACGGGTCAATTTTAATTAAAAAGGAAGTTCAGCCATAGAAATAAAGAATTAATAGACAATAATATTTTGAAACCCCAAATTGGCAGAAGACAACCTAGAAACGGGTCAATTTTAATTAAAAAGGAATTTAACAAAAGAACCTGCATGCTCAGTGTCGGCTAACATCTAACTACAATAGGAAGAATTACGGTTTTCTCTCTCTAGACTCAGTGTATGGCTGACACAAAAATGTTACACAACTGGCTGGGGCAGCAACCAAGACTCAGTGCATATGTAGAAGTTATAATCACTCTTTCTCATGATGTGAGACACTCTGAATTGCAGAACCATAAATATTACACAGAAATCCAGTTTCTAACACAGCCATGTAAGACTAAAAGAAGCATTTTTTCCTTTCTAAATTGAATTACTGAGATTCCTCAAACTTGGGTCACTCTGGACTGATTTCTTCCTATCATTTACAGGATGCTTCACCCAAATGTAATCTTAGATCACCCTCCACACTGAAATATAGAAAAAAGAAAAGGAAAAAAAAAAAAAAAAATTGAACTTCCTTTGTCATAAAAATGATACCGTATTGAAGTCATTAACACTACACATTTGTTTCTTTTGAAATTTTTTCTCATGTTTTTAAGTATGATCAACAAAGTTACAAAGTCATAGAAAAAAAAAGCCACTCAATATTACTTGCAAAGGAATTTTAAATGCAAATAAAAACATTAAGTAATCTCATAGGCATATCTAACCGTTTTGCGAGCATGGTCCTGACTAACATCTTCAAGTACAAGTTCTGGTTGCAAAAGCATCCTCGACTGTGACAGAAACCAATAGTGTTCAATAAAAAATATATATGATTAGTTCAACACTTACATCATTAAATGTTGAAAAAACAAAGTAAAATATAACTTTTCTTATAGCAAACTATTCGGATTTTCCTGAAGCAGCACCAACTGATAATAGTACCAAGAATAAGAAAAGGTTCTCAATGTTTGCGATATTTGAACATCGTAGACTCACACCTTGGTGCACAACCACGAAGGTTCAAGTCACTGAGGTAGTGTGAGGCACTTAAGATTGGCATGTCACACAAGTCTCATTTATTAAATGAAGGAAATTAACAGATGCAGAATCAATATGGGTTTATGGTAACACTGAGCTTCTATCTCAAGTAGTATCCATCCTTGCAAATGGAAGTTTGAGGGGTCAAGTCCCTTATGGGCAACAGTGTGGGTGTGTGTGAGAGAGTAAATTATCTAACCGAAAAAAAAAAAATTTGTTTATGATCAATTTCCCAGTTCTTGAGTTCATTTTAGATTTTATCAGGCATGCAAAAACAAAAGGCCTTAGAACTGATGACAGAAGTTTGAAAATGATCAGCCATATAACCAACCAAATCATCTTTTCTGCGGAACAAATTGAAAAATTATATTTTTATCAATAAGCAGCAAATTATATAAATTGCATAAACAAAAGGTGAGTGCATCCTCTGTAAGTATCATGGGTGAAAACCAACATCCAGGCTTATGAACCAAGACCGTTTGTAAAATGCTTTATGCACAAACAATCTAGAACACAAAACTGCACAACTATAAAGGGTTCGATCAAAATGTGATGTAATGGCTATTTTGCTTTGAATGCAAGGTAGATATGGTGGCTTTGATATTGTAACAGATGTCAGACTTGTTAGTTTGTATAGCATTAGTTAAATCAAATTCAATCCAGCATATACTACTAGTTTGGATAACCCCACCGATGTTAGCTACAAAGATGAAGTATAATTAGTGTGACCAACCTCATCATATCCAGTAAGCCACACACGAGGAGTTTGATAATATTTATCATACCTGGAAAAAGAAAAATTAGAAGAGAGAGAAAAGTAAAACCAGATCATAATGATGTACAGAGATTTCAGGGATTTAATCAATGGGCCAAGATGAACAAAATACAATGTTAACAGGAACTCTATGATTTATTTTTACTTACGTGATGCTGACATCGTACGTGCGTGTTCGTAGAATATTGTCATCATCAGGTTCATGAGCAACGAGATATGTAGCCTCAAGTGTTGCCTGCATTAGATAGATACGTAGATATATAATAATTATCAGAACTTTCAACCAAAATAGTACATCGACCAGTAGATGAATAGTACAGCACATTCTTGGGCTTTGAAACAACATGAGTAAACCAACAAAAGATCACAAAGAACTTAGTGTTTTCAATGTCATCAATTCAGAACTTGCTAAAACTAAATGAAATCCTTACTAAGTGAAACCTTTTAAGAAATTTGAATTATGAACTTTCAACGGTAGGGCTGTACTTGGATGTATTAAATTACATTAAAGACTAATAGAGTAGTAATAACATCCGGAATCTATATGATAACATTTGCTACAATCCACAATTACTCATTCAGGTGATATAAGAAGCGCATATTATTAACTCCTATATCAATCCATAAGCATTGGACACGATTCCACCATCAGTCCCAAAGCTAATTTTCCCAAGTATCACTCTCAGAAGTTAGAAGCATGCAAAACCCGAAACAGTTCAAAAATTATTACATTCAGACAAAATTTGATTTCAGAAATAAGGCGCATGCGATCACTTACAGGATCTGTTTCGATAAGGCTGTCAGATTCTTCATATTCTGCCATGTCTGGGATGTCTTCCTCCTCCTCACCTCCAAAGTATGAAGAGATTGACTGAATGGTATTGTTCTTGGTGATTTCTAAGGTCTCCATGGAAGGCAAGTTTTCCTCCTCGTCGCATTTGCTTTCTGTAGCAAATAAATGGCATCAAGCCAAAAATGTAAAATTAAATTTTAAATTATCAGCTTCAGTAAACAACAAACCTTTTGGTTTCCCATGAGTTGCCAACCAGCCATCATTGTCCTCATTATCAAGAAGAACTTCACCTCCAGCAGCTTCATATTCATCTTCTACAGATGCAGCTCTACGTAGACATGGAACTGAAAAAGGAGTTATAATATTCTGTAATTTAAATTCACACATTGGCAAACAAATTATAAGTATATTTTTTAGCAAAGAAACATTTGCATCAGTAAGTGGGTACAGGAAAGAAGCTTTCCTCCTACATTTGTGATACATAATTCATGTAAATGCCATCATTTGGTTTTGCCAACCTGTTATGGCCAAAATTTAAAAATGGATACACACACATCATTTTCTTTTTTGATAAGTAATACACATACAGCCTTGTAGTAGATTAATCATATAAATCCCAAATTGTATAATAATGTGACAGGCTAGGATTCCAGCTCCACATGTTGCATGTTTGTTTGCCACACGTACATCATAAACACAGACAATGACTTTTTTTACTGCCTTGTAGTAGATTTGTGTGTGTGTGTGTGTATATATATATATATATATAAACCTCAAGCTGTATAGTAATGTAATAGGCTAGGACATGTCACACGTTCATTCGCCACACATACATCATAAACATAGACAATGACTTTTTTTTACTTAATCTTGCATCTACATTCATATTTCTCTAAACCTAATGGAAAAAAATCTAATGCTTTGTGAAGATGACAGTCCCATAAAAAAGGAGAATATGATGATGATGATGATGAAGATAATTGTCATAATGCTGTTGAGAATGAAATTAGTTGAATGGTTGTGACGTATTTGTGCAGGAGAAGAGACAAGGTGGTGGCGAGAAAGAGAACTTGTTTTGTTCATAAAAGGAAGACAGTAAAAGTTTCCACGGAAGATAAGTTTCAAAATGAAAAAGAAGATTGTTTTCTAAAACTAAAAAGAGAAGGCAATATTTTATCACACAACTGAAATTCTCAAAAATATTGCAATCTTCTGCCTCCTTCCCACTCCCTTCCAACCACATTCTTGTGTGAAGCAAAAAAGGAACTTCCCCCTTCCAAGAACACTCCAGTTAATCTCGATCTTTTTTTGATAAGTAATAATAAATTAAAAAAGGCGTTCAATAAGGGAACGCGTCCCATGAACATTAGAGAAACAGGGGTCTAAGGCCCCAAAGAATCCAAAAAAATAAATTAAGTCATCAGAAGAGGAACAAGAGCTCCTGTTCACATAACTAAAGAGAGAACGAATAATTAAAAGTTTCAGCGACGCTGTAGACGACTCCTTCCCTTCAAACATTTTACTATTTCTCTCCTTCCAGATGCACCACCAAATACAATGTGGGACAGATCTCCAATAATCACGAACACTCCTACTCACACGACAACCTCTCCAAGCATGAATCAACTCCTTAGTAGAACGTGGCATTACCCAGCACATGCCAAACAGGCTAAGAATTAGGAGATGATCGACTGACTCCCCATCCTGCTTGCATATAAAACACTGATTAACAAGACAATTTTCCCTTTTCCTCAAATTATCAATCGTCAGAATCTTACCCCAAACGGCGGTCCATACAAAGAATGCCACCCTAGTAGGAGCCATAGAGCGCCATATGGTCTTCCATGGGAAATCATAGGATGCAAAATTAGACAAACATAAGAACAAAGACCTTACTTCAAAACGACCATGAGAAGAGGGAATCCAAATCAAATTGTCATAACCCCTGCCAATTCCTTCCTTCTGATACAATTGATCCAAGAAAATGCTCACCTCTTCCAACTCCCAATCTTGAAATGAACGCCAAAAATGAACATTCCACGTAATCCCACCATTATCAAGCTGATAACAGTTAGCACTATGGCATGTTTATCAACTGCAATCCTGTATAATCTGGGAAATGTACGACATAAAGGCTAGTTCCCACACCAAAGATCTTCCCAAAAACGAACGCAACTATCATCACGAACTCTGAATCTGATATGAGAGGAAAATGCATCCCATCCCTTCCGAATGGATTTCCAAGCCCCAACTCCTCCCGCAATAGAAACCGGACGTGCAGTCCATCCGCCAACATCTTCCCCATACCTACAAGATACTAATCTACGCCAAGGGCGTTGTCTTTCCTTCCCGTATCTCCACAACCATTTGCCCCCAGAAGAGCTTGATTAAAAAGAATCAATCGTCTAATACCAAGACCACCCAATTTTATAGGCTTGCATACTTGCTCCCATTTAACAAGGTGATACTTGAACTCTTCTTCCCTTCCTCCCCAAAGGAAATTCCTTTGAATTTTTTCAATTCTATCAGCAACGGAGCATGGAATTTGGAACATTGAAAGAAAATAAGTGGGAAGACTTGATAAAGTGCTCTTGATAAGAGTTACGTTACCTCCCTTGGACGAATATTGCTTCTTCCAACCTGCCAACCTCTTTGCATACCTATCAAGCACAGAATCCTAGCTCCCCACTATCCTGTAAGAGGCCCTTAGGGGCAATCCCAAATAAGGGATAGGAAAGGAACTCACTCTACACCCAAGAACTGCAGCTAAAGAAGAGATGTCCTGTACATTCCCGACCGAGATAAGCACACTCTTGGCCACATTTACCTTTAGCCCGGAAACTGCCTAAAAGCAAGCCAGTATGCGCCTTAGATATCTAAGTTGAGACGCATCTGCATCACAAAAAACTAGAGTGTCATCTGCAAATAGCAAATGAGAAATCTCCACCTGATGGTCAATATCTCTTCCCACCCGGAATCCCTTAATGAGACCAAGATTCTCCGCCCTATGCATAAGTCTGCTTAAGCCCTCCATAACAATAAGAAAAAGAAAAGATGACAATGGATTACCTTGTCTTATACCCTGAGAACACCCGAAGAAACCAGCTGGATAACCATTCACAAAAATTGAGAACTTGACAGACGAAAGACATGTCTCAATCCATGTCCTCTATCTACTTCTAAACCCCATTCTTTGAAGCAAATAGAGTAGGAAATTCCAGTTTACATGATCATAAGCTTTCTTAATGTCAAGTTTGCATAGAACTCTAGGAACACCACTACGCAACCTTGAATCCATACATTCACCGGCAATAAGAACTGAATCAAGAATTTGCCGTCCTCCAACAAATAGATCTCCGTCATCGCTTCTAAGAATAAGATGTGGAAGGAAGAGATTTATGGGATTTGTTCTATTTATGGGTTGATATGGTGAGACGTTAAGCTAATCTTACGGATTTGAGATATGAAGGTTATCCCATAATGGTCCTTCTCGTTCACTTACTCAAACCCAGAAACAAACCTACGACTTCATCTCTGTTTATAGTACGTACTCCCTCTAAAAGGAATGCGCCATAGAATAGTCGCCTTGAGCGGCTGTGATCAGACATATTGTTAAAGAAGTTCAAAAAGTCAAGTCAGTGGAATCAACAAGCAGGTCTTAAAATAAATAAAAGGGTCAACCAACTAATTGAAGTAAAGACTAACGTATCAGATAAAATTTTGGCACAGAAACATGCTTTCGTTACAAGTATAATTCTTGGATCATCAAAAACTATTACAATCACAGATTGTAATTTAGGTCAACAGGATGATAAAAATTGTGTTGGTGCCAACAATCACCAAGTGAATTCCTGAAAACTCAATAGACCATACACCTTAAAAAATCTAGAGAACAGTAGCCCAAAATTCCAGAAATGCTCCGAATCAAAATTGTAGAGCATCATTTAAGAATGTAGATGGCCAGTCATCTATTGTAACAATACAAGGGGAAATGAAATAAAACAAGGGCCTCCAAATAAGCCTATATTCAAGGTGACAATATCAGGTCTTTCTTCTACATTTTGGTATTACTTTGTGTTCGATGGCAGTTAACTACCCTAACAAGCATTTTCCTTGACATTTTGGATCAATGGAGATCCTACTAAAGATTTTTTTTTTTTTTTTTTTGATAAGTAAAAATATATTAGAAAAACGTTCAAAAGGGGAATGTGTCCCTAATACAAGAATAAAAAAAGTCTAAGGACCAATGGAATCCAAGAGATCAAAGAAATCATCAATCGAGGAGCATGCACTTCCTCTTACATAAGAGAACAGAGAACGAAGAATATGAATTTTTAAAGTAGCTAAAGACGATTCTTTTCCTTCAAAGGATCTGTTATTCTTCTCACGCCACAAGCACCACCACACACAATGTGGAACAATCTTCCAATAATCCCGAGCTTGTTCTTTGACAGGACACCTTTTCTAAGCGTTAATCAATTGAGAGGAGTGCTTAGGCATTACCCAAAAAACTCCAAACATGCTTAAAATAAAACTCCAACAATCAAACGCCACAAGACAATGCAAAAGAATGTGGTCCACGGATTCACTATGAGCTTTACATAAACAACACCAATTAACAATAACGTTGCCTCTCTTTCTCAAATTGTCCAATGTCAAAATCTTCCCCAATGTGGCAGTCCAAAAGAAGAATGCGATTCGAAGAGGAGCTTTAGAGCGCCAGACAGACTTCCAAGGGAACTCAGGACCAACGAAATTGGACAAACAGATGAACATAGAGCGGACGCCATACCGACCATGAGCTAAAGGAACCATCAGAATATCATCACACCCTCTGCCAACATCCTTCTGTCTATACAACGTATCCAAAAAAACACAAGCTTCCTCCATTTCCCAAAAACTCCTACTAAAAGGGCCGCCTAAACTCCTACTAAAGATTTTGAAGGAAAGTGATAGACCTCCATGCTTGATGTGCCTTAAAATATCTAGCTAACAGTTGCCCAGGTTTCTTGAAATGCTCTGCATCTAAGTTGTAGACCATCATTTATGGATGTTGCCATGTTGATAACCAGTTATCTATCGTAACAACACTAAGGAAAATGAAATAGAACCTAAGCCTCCAAATTAGGTCTTTATTCAGGTTGACGATACCAAATCTTCTTTTACATTTTAGTTTATACACTGTTTGATGCAAGTTAACTACCCTAATAAGAATGTTCCCTTACAAGTCTAACAAACAGAGATCCTATTGAAGATATTTATGGAAAATGACACGAATTTCATGCTCAGATTCACTAAATTGCAATTGGATACTCAATAATGCTACTCCTACAACGTGTATTACTTTATAGTCTACTTCGAAATATTGCCAACTACTAGCCGCATTTGCCATATTCAAATTGTTGCAACAGAGTATATAGGTTTCACTCGTGAAAACTTCTATAAGTAGGTGCATAACAACTCATAAAACCATAGGAAATCATGAAAACAACATATATAGCTGACTACTACATATTGAAGATAACAGCATTGTACATTATAAGATTAAAATAAGGTAACTACTTCGTATTGGACACAAGGGAACATAACATTCAGAAATATTAAGGAAAACATGGCCACTGACAACGGCACTTACCATTTCTAGTGATCAAGAATTGCTTTTCAGCGGGTAAATATGACTTCCTCTTGCTAGGTTCACCAGATTCCCTATCCACATCATACAAAAACTATAAATAACAAAAAGTGAACTGATCATTGACAAAGAGCTTCCTAACACAAAAAAACAAGCTGCATCTGTATCATAAATATTTATTTCACGTGAATAAAATGAAATGACCCGTTATATAAGAAGGGAAAACCAAAGCTTACTAGCTTGGATCAATATTCTAAGATCCTACAAGATTATGATCCTAAGTACTTTAAACGCCTAATTTTTGTTATCCGTCAGCCACATGTTCTTTCATTCATTAATTAGGTTTTTATATCCATCCTATGAATCCTAGAACTTCTAGAGTATGGTAATAAATACCCCCACCAATAAAGTGAAAGAGCATTCAAAAGGGAGACCCAGATTGCAAATGGAAGTGTCTTAACCACCATGTGTAAGGTATAACAAATTTTATACCTTATCAAGTACCGCAATCAAGAAAGTCACCCTATACTTAAGCTCAAATAACATGATAATTGGTAGATGTTACCATCCAACTTTTTTAAGAACATAAACTTCACTCTACAAATTCGCAGCTTCTAATCTTCTTCTTCATGACCCCATTTTTATGAAATCTAATCATGATTCATGACCACCATTTCTAGTTTCAAGCCAAAGAAATAGTCATCACTCCATCACTTTCACGGTTGCTATTGTAGCATCAATCGTGATGGAGATTCATAACCCGAATTTCAATATTGCCAAATATTGGCACATTTCACAAAAAATCAATCAAGTGAGCTTAATGTCACGCCCCGCCTATGGAGGTTGTGCCACGCAGGCGACACGCAGACGCTGAGGAGGACGCTGCATGGCAACTGCATGGCGAGTGGAGTTTCTAGAGTCTTTCGGAGTTGTCTAGAGTTGTGTGGAAGATTCTAGGTATGTGTAGTATATTCTAGAATTCTCCAGAATTGTGTAGAGTAGTATGGAGAGTTTTAGAATATTGTAGATACCTGTGGATAAGTATGGAAGTGTGAAGAAGGTGGGAGAAGATTCTAGAGAATCGATCTCCACCGTTGGTTAGAATGCATCATAGCCATCCATTAGGGATGGGGATGCCTATAAATAGGAGTGGGACTTCATTTTGTAGACAACAAGTCCTAGAAGTGAGCTTGACAGTCTTGTAGAGAGTTTGAGAGCTAGTCTTGTACAAAGCATTCTTTGAAGTAATAGAAGTGTTCTTTCCTTGCCAACTTAAGTGCCTTAGTGTTTGTGAGTGTGCAAGCCAAGTGAGAAGAGGGCGAGGGCCACTACAACACTAGTAAGCGTACGAGGGGAGTGTGTTGGCTAAGGGGTGCGCGGGAGTTAGGCTGACCAAGTACTTGCGAGAGTAGAAGCAACGTCTTGGTGCCGCACGGTAGTAGCTAGAGTGGTGCTGAAACTCTAAGCCCGTGACAGTTGGTATCAGAGCAGGTTCATCAAGGGAGTTTTGTTGGAGTAGACATGGCTAGCGGAGGAGACGACCAAGTCCACGTCTTGGAGCAGAGCTTGGAGGAGAAGCTCGCCACACACTTGGTCTACACGGAGACCAAGTTCAATAGGCTCGAGAGAAAGATGGCAGAGCTCTACGAGCTTATTGACAGCATGGCGGTCAATGCGCAAGAGAAGGAAAGGGACTTGCATGATCGGGTAGACGACTTGCGCATGGAGATTGCTGAGTGCAAGAAGGAGTTCTCCCAGGCGCGCAAGGTCGTGGTGAAGCCAAGGAAGAAGAAGGCGCCGGAGCCCAAGGAGTATGATGGGGCAAGGAATGCGCGCCAGATTGACAACTTCTTCTGGCACATGGAGCGGTACTTCGAGTGTATGGAGATCGAAGATGATGAGGAGAAGGTGCAGACATGCACCATGTACCTCACGGACACCGCTGCTCTATGGTGGAGGCAGCGCTTCACTGGTAGGGGCGCAAGAGCGGTTGACACATGGGAGGAATTCAAGAGGCAGTTCTACCCTGAGTGCGTCGAGGACCTCACCATGATCAACCTAAGGCGCCTGAAACAGAATGGCAGCATAAGGGAGTATGTGAAGGAGTACTCCAACCTGATGCTAGAGATCCCAGATATGACGGAGCGACAACGCGTGTGCTTGTTCATTGATGGGTTGCAGTCTTGGGTGGCCACAGAGCTGAGGAGGAGGGAGCCTAGAGACTTAGCATTTGCAATGGCTATAGCAGAGCACCTTGAAGACTTTAGGCGTGATGACAAGAGAGTCACGTCTCCCAGGAGGGACCACGACAAAGGTGGGGGAGACCGGCGCTTCAATTAAAGGGGCTCACCCAAGTCCAGCGATGATGAGCACAGCGACGAGGAGAGACGCCCACGCCATGACAAGAGCAAGGGCCAAGGAGAGAGGTCCAAGGCTAGTGGCAAAGGAAAGCGCCGCGACAAGGGCAAGTGGGAGCCGAAGTGCTACTTGTGCGATGGGCCGCACATATTGCGACACTGCCCAACAAGAAAACCACGAGCACCCTTGTGAAGGATAAGGGCAAGGGTAAGGAGGACGATGCGGGTAGTGATGAAGACAGGTGCATGGGGGCTATACAGATGCTGAGTAGCATGGCGCATGACACTAAGAAGAAGAGCAAGGCAAAGAAGGTAGCCGGGGTATGCTATGTGGATGCGCAGGTTGGTGGCAAAACCGTGCAAGCGTTGGTGGACACAGGCGCCACACACAACTTCATTACCCCGAAGGAGGCGCAACGACTTGGCTTGGAGATGCGCAAGACGGAGGGCTGGATCAAGGCCGTCAACTCCGAGGAGGCACGCGTGAGCAGAGTGTGCAAGGAGGTGGAGTTATGCATGCAAGGATGGAAGGGCAAGGCTGACTTCCAGGTTGCAGAGATGGACGACCACGACATAGTGCTGGGGCTGGAGTTCATGGATAGGAACAACGCCGCGCCACTACTGTGCCTTGGTGCGTTGATGATACTTCGAGGCGAAGAAGGCAAAGCCGCATGCATGGTGCTGCTCGTGGGCAGGAAGGAGAGTTTAAAGGTGGCAATCAACACGATGGAGCTCGTGAGGACCTCACATCTCCTGAAGGGGGCGCACAAGTTTGGGCCAAGGACATATGTGCAAGTGCTGATGACCTGCGAAAGGCTGGGTCAGCTGAAGAAACCGTGACGAGGGCGTCACGGAAATGGGTGGGGGAGAATGTCATGCCCCACCTATGGAGGTTGTGCCACGCAGGCGACACGCAAATGCTGAGGAGGACGCTGCATGACAACTGCATGGCGAGTGGAGTTTCTAGAGTCTTCCGAAGTTGTCTAAAATTGTGTGGAAGATTCTAGATATGTGTAGTATATTCTAGAATTCTCCAGAATTGTGTGGAGTAGTATGAAGAATTCTAGAATATTGTAGATACTTGTGGATAAGTATGGAAGTGTGAAGAAGGTGGGAGAAGATTCTAGAGAATCGATCTTCACCGTTGGTTAGAATGCATCCTAACCATCCATTAGGGATGGAGATGCCTATAAATAGGAGTAGGACTTCATTTTGTAGACAACAAGTCCTAGAAGTGAGCTTGAGAGCCTTGTAGAGAGTTTGAGAGCTAGTCTTGTACAAAGCATTCTTTGAAGTAATAGAAATGTTCTTTCCTTGCCAACTTAAGTGCCTTAGTGTGTGTGAATGTGCAAGCCAAGTGAGAAGAGGGCGAGGGCCACTACAACACTACTAAGCGCACGAGGGGGGTGTGTTGGCTGAGGTGTGCGCGGGAGTTAGGCTGACCAAATACTTGCGAGAGTAGAAACAACGTCTTGGTGCCGCACGGGAGTAGCTAGAGTGGTGCTGAAACTCTAAGCCCGTGACATTAAGCTCAGGAAAAATTAGTCAGAAGTTCGGCTAAATTCAGGAAATAACTAAAATTATAAATTTCGGATTGACTGAACAGTTATATCTAAACTGCAGCTCACGATCAACCCTAAATTCACCAACTACAAATTATGATCTTGATAATTCGTGATTGAAAAGTAGCATATTCCTCTAAAACAACCAAGATTTTAATTTCCCTCCTTCGAGTGCAAACTTCTTCGAATGTATAATCCAGAATTAAATTAAACACAATTTCAACAGACATGACCTAATCCACACCAGCTTAACAGCAAATTGAAAGAACTACGATAGTAATTGAATGTCATTTACCAGGACCAGGTCGGACACTTGGAGACGAGATTGTCTCCAGCGATGACGAACTCGCTGATGCTGAGAACGCCTTTCTCTTTGAAAGCAGATACTGTTCGAGGACCTGTGATCCTCTCAACCGTGCCTTTGAAGGCTTCGTGAATCTTCTGAGTCAGAACCATCTCTGATACGACAGAGACGATCGAGGAAACGAAAACACAATGGAATTGAAATTCGGTTGGAGACCTAGAAATTCAAAAGGGATCGAAACACAAACCCTAGAAACTACAGTGGAATTATATAGATAGCCTACTATATAATTCGTGACGATGTTGAAGTTTGATCGTTCATGTGTTGAAAAGTGTGTGTCAAAGAGAGAACAGAGAGAGAGACCTTGGTTGAAAAGGCCACTAGGCCGATTTTGGGCCTTTGGCAGCATCGCAAGAGGATCTGGGTTTTGTTGGCCCAGCTAAAAGGAGCCGCTTAAACGTCATTTAATTCTCAATCTAAACTCAAATATAAAAGCCTATTAATCGAATGGGCCCAATCTGGTCTTATTTTATAATCTCGATTTGATCTTAGGTTATGTTTGGATTTATCAAATTATGCACTTGTTCTTTTGGAAGGCTATTCAAACAGATAAAAACGTGCCACCAGAGGTATAATGGTTTTGACAAGAAGTAAGTTTTTAAAATCTCGCTTTCGAATCGCACTTCTAACTTGAATAGTAAGTGTGTTGTGGAGTCGATACATGAACTCTAATAAAAATAAATAAATAAATACTTAAAAAAAAACAAAGAGAACTTTTGAACGAAAGTAAACACGTTTAAATTTCTATTTTTTTTTAAAAGACCATCTTAATTTTTATTTATTTTATTTTAAAAGTTATGCTGATATCAAATATAAAAACAAGCCATCAAATGAGATTGTTATAAAATTTAGTCATAGAATTCGTTTTAAAAATATTGCTACTAAACAAAAACCATTAATTGTCAGACACCTAATATGATTTGTAGTTACTTCGTACAAGAAATTTATGGTTGATTGTAAATTTTTGTTGAGCAAATGTCAAAAATCAGAATACCTTCTTGCAATGGTTTCCTCGAAATGGTAACCAAATGGCGCATGAAGGCTATGTTTGCATATGCCTTTTCCATTGTGTAGTTTTTTTGTTTCAATTTGTGTGGAAAAAAAAAATATATCACCGAAAAAACCATTTTTTTATATTATTATTATTATTACAGCACTAATGCCCAACAGGTCCTTAGTCTCAAATTAAGTAAAAAATTGTTAGTTATTTTTAAATAATAACAATAATAATTTAGAATTAGCAATTCGATATGAATATAATCCGACCATCTCTGAGTTTAAAATTATAAATTTAGACGGTTTGAAAACTTGAAAAATAAATAAGAAGGCGAACACTTGTGATTAAAATTAAAATAATAAACATGTGTCTCAATTTTTGTTATTGATAGATAGACTGTTTTTGAGATAAATATGAAAGAGGTAGTCTATTTTATCTATTGCTTAAGTTTTTGTTCGTGGAACATTTAGCTCCTAAAACTGATTGGTCCGTATTCGACCTAACTACAAAATACTAAAAGGACAAAAAAAAAAATCTAATTTGTCATAAGAAAATACAAAAAAAAATTCTCATTGGTCTTGATGTCACATTTGCCTAACTTATGCCATTTGTTTTTTTCTTGTAGAAGCTACCATCTATTCAACATTTATTACCTACCTATAGCCACCGTTGACACATACTCAGTATATATATATATATATATATATATATATACACACACACATTAAACCCTTTAATGCCGCCCACGACCACCATAGACAGAGGAACACCTACCATTTCTCCGTGTGAGAGCTCCTCTCAGCTTTCTTCACAGACCATATCTATAGTTTTCTACCCTCCCACAAACACACACACAACACTCACAATCTCTCTCTCTTACCATTGAACCGGTTTCAGATATTCTTTAATCTCATTGAAGTGCCGTACAGAGCACATATATACTTGACTTGCCGTTACACGACACCCACACGGGCCACACACCTATCCACCACCTACCACCTACCACCCATCACCAACAACCGTCTCCAAATCACATGGGTTAGTAATTTCAGCTTACTTCACTCACCAAAAGCTACAAAAACTGTTCTTTCCCTCTCTGTCTAAGTTGTTCCATTGATGAACTTATAGCGTTTATTGAATTTGCTCAGTTATTTGACCGTACAAATGGGGATGAGTTCGTGGGACTACTGGGTTGAAGGGGCACTTTCAAGGTTGGAATCTATGAAAATCCGACGATCTCTCAGACCCATTTACCTCCCCAACATTGAGGAACCAAATACCTTCGAAAATGAATCCGAGAACGCTTCCAATTCTGATGCATTTGAGGTTTTTGATGGTTTGCGCCAATGGGATAGAGCGTCAGTGGAAATGCAGATTTCTGAGGCAACGTTTCAGAAATGGCTTGGAGACATTCCCAGTTTGGGTGCGTGCTCATATTAAATGGTTTCATTTTCTGATTCATCCTATTTTTGTGTGTGGATGTATTGAAATTTGAATGCTTTCTGAATGTCAGAATCTTAAGACATTGCAATGATTCTTGTTTTCTTTCCAATTTTGGCAAATATATATATACACATGTGATGAGTTTTATTATACAAACATGCATATGTATAATGAACATGTTTATATTGAAGAAATTCAGCAATATATAGTTTACTGCCAGAGTGAGGATGTTGTTAACAACCCATCATTAGAAAGTTTTTGGGAGGTGCAGTTGTTAGGCGTTCACTGTATTTTGGATCTTGTAGTGTTGTAAATTGTAATAGATGCACCTACAATAGGGCTATACAGTGGCGGAGCCAGGTTTTTACTTTAGCGAAGGCAACCTTTAATAATAGAGTTCTATTATTCAAGCCGAATATGGAATACATACATGTTGTGGAGAATTTTTCCTTACTAATATGCTTAAAAATAGAAAATTTTGAACCAAAACAATAAATGCAAAAATTAAAGTATAGATTGTAATATTAGGAGAAAAGTTATTGATCTCTTTTGAATTAGGAGTTAATAAGAGGTTTTAACAATTTTTTTAGAATATTGTTGGGTCGCAGTGGGGGCATTTTTAGGACTACTAAAAATTTTACATACAAAATCAAAATAATATGAGAGTCTAGTGGGGGCGGCTATAGTGACTTGAAGTTTACTAGGAAGATGCTAATTACTATTTCTAGGAAAAAGTTATCATGGGCCACCAGTTGAGGGGGCACACTAATACTGAGAGCATCCTTGTGATAGACTTACTATTGTTTTGAGCGTTATAGTTTCTTTATGATTAGAACTAGGAGTGCTTTTTTGTCACAGTAGAAAAAGCTTGTAAATAAAAGGTTTCCTTTTTTTGTATCCGAAATACATCTTTGAAGCATATAGTACCGTAAAATGAAAGATTATGCATGTCTGATTTGAGTCGATATCAATGGATCCACCACTATTACCAAGAGGAGAAGAATAGGTAGGCATTACATTGTTGGAACCCGTCAAATTTTTTATGCAGAAACAAACGTGCTACCTAGCGGTGTTACATCACTTTCAAGTCTCAACTGGTTCTCAGCGTCACTGTAGAGACCCTTCCCTGTTTTTGACAATGTTTTTATAAATTTTCACTTAATAAATCTTCTTTTCAGTATAAACCCCTAAAGTTAAGAATTATAGCATCTTTGATTGATACGTTGCATGTGCACCTTCATATTATTCGTAGGAGATGATACTGTCTGTAGCAATAGAGAAGCCGATGATGAAGCAGTGGCATGCCCTCAGAAGTTTAAAAAGCTGCTTTTGTTCTCTGGAAATGATTACTTGGGCTTGAGTTCACACCCGACAATTGCGAAGGCTGCTGCAAAGGTTAGTTTATGGGTCATTGTTTTTGTACTTTTTGCCTGCTTTATATGTTATATACTTTTTTAGTCTTCGGGCCAATATGTTTTGAACCTTCTTCTGTATCAGGCAGCCCTAGAACATGGAATGGGCCCAAGGGGTTCCGCTTTAATATGTGGGTATACAAATTACCACAGGCTCCTAGAGTCAAGCTTGGCAGACTTAAAGAAGAAAGAGGTATTGACTATATGTCGTTCATTGTGTCTGTTGTCTATTATCAGTAAAGATTATTTGCATGTTCCATAAATTGATGGTTCTACCATTTGTGATAAAAAGTGTTTGCTTTCGGCAACAAAATGTAATAACAAAGAGAGAATATAATATGCAAATATGAGCCGATATGTGACAGAAAATTGATCCAGGCTGTTGGATACTTTGTTGCAGTCAAGGCATGAACTGCATTCTAAACTTTATATGTGTTTCTTCTTTAATATGGTTTGATCTTAATTTCCAAAAATTATGGTTTGATCTTTGGGATGACTGATAACTTCTGAATTTGGCTTCTAAAGTATGATCACACTACGTATTTTGGAAGAAATTGTTTATTTCTTGAGTGTTCAGGTCCAGAGAAGTTTAATTTTGTTTACTCTTGGATTCAAGCTCAGGGCAATGGAAACTCACTGTCTTGTTCGACTCTGGGATTCTGCATGGCTTGTGGTTATATATGTAACTTATTACAAAATTGCATTATTCTAGTTTAAATTACTTGGTAATGCTGGTTTCCTTAGTTAATTGAAAAATGGATACTCCTGATTTTCATTGCAATGATAGAATATCCTATCTGTTGTCTTATGTCTTCAGATGAAATTTTCTTTTATGAACATCTTTATTAAAGTCAATAAAGTAATAGAGTGCAAGAAAGAAAAGAAGACATCCTACTTCAGCCATACGAGGCAGTAGCAACAATATTGCATTACAAAAATTAAAGCTCAAGTAAAACTTGAAGATTATAGTTCTATGGTTCCTTGGAGATCTTATTCTCTTTTGTTTTGTTCTTTTGGCCATGATGCCTCTTATGCTTGAGTTTTTCTGAAATTATTCGGTAAAAAACTATTCATTCTTGTTCTGCTATTATCTTCTAGGATTGCCTTCTTTGTCCTACAGGCTTTTCAGCCAATATGGCCTTGATGACTGCAATAGGAGATGTTGGCTCTCTATTGGCTGAAGGCAAAAAACCTTTGCAGGATGAAAGAGTTGCCATATTTTCTGATGCTCTGAACCATGCATCAATAATAGATGGTATCCGTCTTGCTGAGCGACGGTGGAATGTAGAGGTTTTTGTGTACAGACACTGTGACATGTCCCACCTTGATGCTGTTCTGTAAGTTATTTATTTTATCAATTATTACGTTGGGGTCCCTCACCATTCTTTTGGTTTATTTCTTTCCCCTGTTTCACCTCATAGCAATGAATTTATGGTCTGACAGATCAAGTTGTACGATGGAGAAGAAAGTTGTCGTGACAGATAGGTTAGTCATGTCACTGATACTGCCTTCTAAAATCAATTGTTTTTCCGTTACATTTGTTTTCTGTGTGTACGTGTTTGTGACATGGGCCTTTCTTCTTTTTGCTGTATTTCTTACAACTTGCTTAAATGTGGTTGTCCTGGGTTTGTTGAAGGGGCTTAATGCTGCTATTTTTACCAGCTTGTTTAGTATGGATGGAGACTTCGCACCAATGGTCGAACTTGTGAAGCTTCGGAGAAAGCATGGGTTTCTATTGGCTATTGATGATGTAAGTTTCTTGAATATCTGGGAGTTGAGAAGTTATTGGGTTCCCCGGGGGTAGCGGTTACTAAATACCCCCACCCAATCAAAACACCCAAGTTCCTATCTAAGATGCCGGAGAGATCTTTGCCTGGGGGTATTTAGTAACTGCCACTCCTGGGGTATTCTATATTTTTCCCTAGGAATGATGGGACTGCAAGAACCTTTCTGGAACCTGTCTTGTACATCAGGCACTGAAAGTCTCCCTTCTTTATCATAATCTATACTATTAATTTTCTTTAGGACAGCAGAGTCATGATACATTTTACACTCTGGAGGAAAAATGAGTATATTTATCACAGTTATCTTGTTAGATTGAGTTTTTGACCATCTAGTGATCCTCCCTGAATGAGTTCCTGTGTGTGGTAAATGCAAAGGGATAGTTTCTTTCTGTCCTCCCACTTTGATATTACTGCTGCTAATTCATTTATCTATGATAAGAACTTAAGAACTGCTCACTCTTGAGTTTATCCAGGCTCATGGAACTTTTGTTTGTGGTGAAAATGGTGGGGGTGTGCCTGAGGAGTTTAAATGTGAAAGTGAAGTTGACATATGCGTAGGCACTTTGAGTAAGGCTGCAGGTTGCCATGGTGGATTCATAGCATGCAAGTAAGCCAGTTAACCTGCTTGTTTTCTTGTACAATATTAGTGGTATAAAAACAGAAACAGATTTAGACTCTTTTGTACTTCCCATAGAAATTGAGTTGTTCCTACTTCCCTCATAATTTACAAGATGCCTGAATTTACTTTATACATAACAGACTGAACTTATATGTTTTCATTTCACTCTTGTTTAAAATGAGATAACTTTTGGATCTGAAGAACTGGCATATACTTTTCATTGTCATTTTAGGTGTTTTAAACTTAAAAACAGTATTCGCTATGTTATAATATCTCCCTTCAACCTTTGCTGCCATGTTCTCCTCAGCTTGTTCAAATTATATGAAATCACACCAAATTTTTATTTTTTATTTTATTATTATTATTTTTTTTATGTGAAGAAATTTTTTGAAAACTTCTGTGCTGATGAATCGACATAAATTCTTCTTCTTCTCTTCTGCTGCTGCTGCTGGTTTGGTAGTCTAAAATATTCTGTACTGATGATTAACATAAATTATTATTCTTCTTCTTTTGTCAGGAGTCAAGACATACAGTCCTTGTATATATTAATTGTAGCATGTAGTAGAAAATCAAATAAGTCCGTGATACTGCCACTTCAGTTATGAAATCTTGCATTGATGCTAGTTACTGATTTATTCACTCGCAGTTCTCATTTTTCACACTGGCTCAAATCACTTTGTTTGCCATCTGGTTGAAGAAATTTCAATTATTGCCTCTTATAAAATTAGTAAACAGATTTTTTTCATTCATCATTTGCGAGTAAAATGACTTGATGCAAGTCTTTCAAATTGCTAACTTTAAATAATCTCCCATCAATTTGTGCGTCATCAGGTTAAGGAAATGAATGAACTAATGCTTCATATAACATGAGTTAATTGAACTTAATCATAATATGAGTTCAACGGGTTCTAGACCTTGTTTTATTAGATAACCTCATACTTTTCATTTAAATGCTACATGAACAGCAAAAGGTGGAAGCAACTCATACAATCAACAGGTCGCTCTTTTATATTTTCAACTGCTATACCAGTGCCTGTCGTTGCTGCTGCACACGGTAAACTTTGACACCAGTCTCGGGGAGGGGATGATCCTTTGCACATTTTGTTCATTCCAATGTGCATATTTGATTTGGGATAATTTGCATAGCTGATTGGTTCTGGTACTCAACTGTGCTAGTTACCTTTTATGAATATTTGTGGCATTATATCACATGTGGTGCTTGTAGGAAACTACAGATGTGGTTTTCAACATTGTGGAATGTATTATGTGCAAAACATCTTGTGTTGGCATTTAGTAATTAAGACATATATATTTCAAATGCAAAAGCACATGACTATGCGTACCTACATGGCGGATTAGATGTCTCTTAGTTATATGTTCCATACCTGTGACTCTAGATTGTGAAATTTGGTATGTGTTTATTCTATTAGAATACTATCCAGAAGATTATTTTATTGTTGTGTGTATGTAAATTGTAGGTTTTGCATTTACCGTTGCTTACTTTCTGTTTTTAGTCAAATTATATAGTTTAACAGTTGCTTTAATTATGCATAGAAGAAGATGCGGTATGATAAAGTGTAGACTTTGCCTCCACGTGATTAGTTTCTGATTAGCAAAGTAAGTTTTAACTTTGCAGCTGCTATTATCGTGGCAAAAAGGGAGACATGGCGTAGAAGCGCTATTCGGAACCGGCTGCGAGATTTCCAAGCTCTCACTGGAATCCCCATTACAAGTCCCATCATTTCTCTTATTGTAGGGAGCGAAGAGAAGGCCCTGCAAGCTAGCCGGTCTCTTTCTATCTATATCTGTGCCCCCTTTTCTCTCTCTCTCTCTCTCTCTCTCTCTCTGTCTGCCTACATTTGTTATAGACTTTCTAACTGTCTCAATCATCTTGGAACAGGCATCTTCTAAAATCTGGTTTCCATGTAATTGCAATCAGACCCCCTACAGTACCCGCCAAATCATGCAGGTCTGTTGTGTTTACCCTCCTAATTTTGTTGATGACTTAATTGTGCCACTTTACTCTCAATGCTCACACACACACACACACACTACTCTCAGAGTGAGGATTGTAATTCCGACATGTTCCCTCAAATATAACTCTATTGTTCTGATTTCTGATTCCAAGGACTATTGGTTGCCATGTCTTGTAATATTCGTTTTTCATAGATTTAGAAAAATTTCTGTTCCTTGTCTGTGCTTTTCCCGTCTTCCTTAACAAGAAGAACCATCTGCCTGCACTTAAGACACAGTACTCCAGCTTCTACTTATCGTTCTTGGAAGAGCTCCTTGATGCTGCTTTTGCCTTCCCAATAATGAATTTTGGACATAATTAAATAAAAGTACATCCCTAGGATTAGGATCTACACTTTTGTCCATACAGGCATAGCATATTCATCCTCCTATATGAACAAGTCTTCTCATGCATCTTTTCATTAAGTAAATAAGGGTTATGTTGATGTAGAAGAAAAGACTGCCTAATGTTCATAAATATGTATACATTGTAGTGGACAAATGCATGACTATAGTGGTGCTCTCTCCCTCTCTCCTCTAAATTACTTTTCTTTTCTCTGTTTTTCCCTGCTCTGATCACACTTGGCTTTGATTCTACATTTCTATACTGTGGACGAGAGCTGACAATATTGGTCAAGTTTAAGTCACATTGAATTTAGCTGCTTCAAAACCCCAGACTTGTCAACTTGTTCATATTGAACAATTAAAGAACAATATATAGATAAATAATAAGCATGTTAACGAAACTAGTTTTGAAAGGGAAACTAAATTTTTGGGGCATTTATGGATCAAAGAGAGCAAACCCAAGATCAACCATGTATGGGTTTAGTTCCCCTTGGTTTGACTCTGGCCCCTAGCAGTTTGGTTTATGATTATTTCGGTTTGTGATTATTTCGGTGTGGACTCTTATATAGTTTTTATTTCATTTTTCATTTCAGGTTAAGGGTAACCCTTAGTGCCGCGCATACTGTGGAAGATTTGAAAAGGCTGACCGCGGCACTGCACCAATGCATCAACTTCCAAGCTATTGGCATCTACAACACAAATGGATATGCCAAGCTTTAGCAATTAATTTAGTACCTCTGTGAGATGTTCAAAATTTTCAGCAACTTTGGTTCTGTTTTCAGCAGTAGTTGCATTCATTCTGGCAAAACATTTGGACAATAAGCAGTAATCGAAATCATGAATTTTTGTCTGTTACCCAAGTCCCTAAAGCAATGTGAAGAACGCCGTTCCCACCATTCCCACTGTTTTCAAAGATTCATTTTGTCACCCAATTGCCTGGATAACTACATTCCTGCAGCATGTTACTGAGAGGAAAATCCCATCGAGTTCACCACCGAGCAAGGCTTTGTCATTTGAACTGTTCAAGGGTGCTTGGCCACTTCCAGGGACCGGTTCTTTTAACCTAAGTTTTATGCCATGAGAAGAACTTTAAGCCTACCTTTGATTGTTGTGGATGGAGGGCAATTCACAATGGTGGTAGTTTTTCAAGTACCGGGGTAGCTTGTGTATGCAAAAAAAATGTTATAATCAGGACAATAGTTTTGTTTTGAATGAGAGTGGATTTTTTTTACAAGGCTAAGAATAGATTAATGAAGTTATTACTTCAAATTACTTAGGTATAGAGTGGGAGCCAAATTCAATCTGTGACTTATTTATATATCTACTTCTCCTTTCTAATGATATCATCCAACTCAGACTACCCAATTCCAATCTTCTAAATTAGACTGCCCAATTCCAATCTTCTAAATTAGGAAATTATGAGAGATAAAATGTCAATGAAATTTATTTATTTTTCTTAAATATGAACAAACCACACAAAACATACTACATATCAGCCCGATCGAATTGCACCCCTGTTTGATACATTTTTTTTTTTAATCTTTCTAAATATAAATCTTGATATATCTTAAAGGCGTGCAAGAATCTGTCTAGATTTTTGTAGACATGTGACTAAATTGTACTAAAGATATTTAGCTATTTAGAAATGAGAAAATAATAAGCAATAGTAGACTATTTATTTATTTATGTAAAAATAGAAAAATCTAGAAAGGGTGAGGAGGTAAAGTTAGCTATAAATACCGGAACGAACTGCACATGAAAACAAAGTCACGAAGCTTTTCAATATTTACTTGAGAGCAAGTGCTCCAACAAATAAAAACATTTTTTACATTATCAACATCGTTTAGTGTTGTAAATACTCAAAAACATGGTTAAAAAATTAATTTTACTTTAGCAATCATTTCAAATTTCTACAAATTTAAGTAGCGGCCAAGGGGTGTGGATTTGGCTCGGGACTGAAGGAATTACCATTTGGTGGATTGCCTGTCCTGCAAGGTGAAGGGGTGGGAGTATATTTTGAATTCTCAGGCCAGTGTCCGTGAAAGTAGCTAGGTTCGAACCCCATTAGAATGTTCTTGCTTTTGCATCCCATAAGAATTTTAAATTATATGATGTGAAAAGTGCATGTAAAGCAATCACTTTTGAAAATTATGATAATTCAAACTATGTGTACAAATTGTCAAAACTTGTTCTATACTTATCAAAAGAAAAATAATAATAATCTTGTTCTTTGATTCCACTATGGGAAAGATTTATTTCTTTACGAAAGATTAATAAAAAATTATATCATTTTAACTAAACATAATCTCACAAACTTTAATATAACGTGAGACTATTACAAACAAAATAAAAAAGTACTTTAATAATTTATTATAGCTCTACAATGTTATCATTTAACAAGGGACAACTAAAAATATGACCACATATGATATCATTATTGTTATGGGCATTTTTGTTAACTTTGGATCGTGCTAATACTTTAGTTTCCCTTCTTCTCATTCTTCAAAAATTTCAAAAATTTGCAGATGGAGATTGACATATAACTTGAGGTATTGAAAACACAATTTAACAAAAGTGTTTGATAAGAAAGATTCATGTATCTTTATTAAAAGATTCATGTATCTTTATTAAACATGATAGAGTATACAATCTTCACTTTCTCTCTCTTAAATTCATATAATTGATATATATGATATAATACGAATTGCTATAATAATGAACTTACATTTTTATTTCACAAAATTGAAAAAGTAAGGCTAAAATATAAGTTATATATATTTCAAACTCATAATTTCTGGGGCCAATAAATAAGTGTCTTCAAAAAAAATCAAGGTGGAAATGAATTTTATACTTGAGTTTTGGGACTAAAAGTTGGACTTATTTACAAAATAATTATTTTTTCTAGGTATAAAACAAAAAAAATTACCTTTTTTTTGAAGGGGCCCCATCTCCCTCGGTTGCTGTCTGCAGCATGGTGTGACCTTAATTATTGCAATTGTTTTTAAGTTTAATTACTACATTAGATTTTCTCATGTTGAATATATTAAAAGTGACAAGACGTTAGCATTAATCGGTGGTTTAATTAGTAGAGCGTTCAGCTCTTTGAACAAATGTGTTCGTATCCTCCTTTATCAAGGATTAAAAAAAATGACGAGACTCAAATATACATATTTTAAGCGAAAAAGAATGTTCATATTTTAATACATATTGTAGTTGGCAAGTGCATGAGCATGACTATGGTGGTGGTCTCTCTCTCCCTCTCTCTCCTCTAATCACTTAATCTTTCTCTGATTTGCCCTGCCCTGATCACTTGGCTTTAATTCTACTGTCTGTACTGTGGTAGCTGGCAATATTGGTCAATTTTATGTCACATTGAATTTGGCTATTTCAAAACTTCCAGACTCGTCAACTTGTTCATATTAAACATTTAAACAACATATATAGATTAATAATAAGCATGTAATTAAAAACTTTGTTACTTTATAAACATACAGCATCTCCGAAAGTTAGAAATCTTGTTGGCTGTGGGCCTGACTGGTTTTGAGAAGCAAACTAAAATTTTGGGGCATTTATGGATCATAGAGAGCAAGCTTAACCATGTACGGGTTTAGTTGCACTTGGTTTGATCATGCGGATTTGCAATTTGATTTCTGATTATTTTCGTGTGGTCTATTGGAGCATTAGGCATGGAGAGCCAGTTTTTGTTCTACACTTTATTAAATATTGAAAGTCATGCAAGCCCATCAAGTTGACGTGGCTAGTCCAGCCAGCCAGTGTGGTACTGGCTCGCTAGTTAGATAATATTTTAATCCATTGACTAGTTGGGCATATAATGTGGCTAATCCCATACACAATCTCTTGGCTTGTCAAATGGTTACACGATTGGCCACCTTGCTCTCTACTTCTCTAAATATAGAGAGTCATGTCAGCCCAATAAGGTGACGTAGCTAGTCACTAAAATGGCCAGCCCAGTCAGCCAGTTTGGTGCTGACTCGCTACTTATATTATATTTTAATCTATTAGCTAGTTAGAACACTTGTAGTGAGTGTTTTGCTGGCAAGCATGTAGGGGCCACAATGTGGTGAATCCCATTTAAGGTAACTTGGCTAGTCAAATGAGTAGAAGATTGGTGTTACAAGAGGTGACTTGAAATGGATATAAATGGATTAGGTGTTAACTCTACTTAATAGCTGAACTTTTTGAGTTGGATTGTGAAACACCTAACCCATTATAATTGATATTAAATTCAGATTCAATTCTTACATCATGCTGACGAGTTCGGATAGAAAGAATGTTATAAAGAAATTTTTGATCGAATTGCGATTTAGTCAAAATGCTACTCCTCTATTATACCGAATGTTAGATTTGAAAAAGCTGGCCACTGCACTGCACTGCACTAATGCATCAACAGAAAGTTCCATGTAACTTTGCGGCTTTTGGATGACCGGCTCCTCAATAGTTAGCATAATTCTTGGAAACATCACATGATGTATAACATTAAAAATTTTAAAAGTCCCCTTGATCTCCTATTTTTGTAACGTTTTTATTTATGTATTTTTCGTTTCTTATTTATATTTCTTGGCGCCTCTAATTTCTTTAAATTTCTTTCTAAACAAAATCAGCGTTTGTTTTCCATATTTATCCAATGATTTATTCTGGTGGAGTCTAATTCAGACGAGTCATCATTAATTTTTGGAGCATTACACTTGGGATATAATTGGTAAAGTGCCTTATTATTTTTATACTAACCAATCATTAGAATATATTATATATGTTTGCGAAAAATTTGGGATGATAATATAAAGAAAGATAATGATTACCATTAAAATTCGTGATTCACCATTACAATACATATGTAGTAAATCTCAATTCCTGCCTTTTCAAGTTCTTTTTACATCACCAAATCAAAGTATCTAAAGTCCAAAAATAGGAACCCTAGCCTTTAGAGAACAAGACCAAAATAAAGACCAAGAGACCACTGGTGCTCCTTTAGCTAGACGGACATGTCACGTGACCTAAGTAAAGTAGGTTCTCTATTAACAAAAGACTACAAAAATAAACCATGATACTAGTAGGTCCCAATTTATCCACGGTTAGGGTAGTCCAATGCAGGGTTGGGAGAACCCAGAGCCAACCAGGTCCCCACTTGATGCTGCTTTGACAAACTTGAACTCTCCTTCTGCCTAGTGCTGTAGCCAATCTTATTATAATAATAATCCCCTCCAGTTCCATTGCTACTCCTAGAACTCCCATCCATCTCTGAGTGACTCATCTCTCTCATAGGCAACTGCACAGCAACCAAAATGAAGTATATATATATAAATATAAATATATATATATATATCAAATCAATGATGGGTCAATTTCTAAATTGCTACTTCAGCAGATAAATTAGACCCAGAAAGCGGGTAGATAACCCATGGACTAGTGTTTTGAGCGGTTTAAATATTACAGCATTTTTCTTAATTAATTGGATAAATAATATTCTTGAATGAATATAATGAAGTACTACAGAAAATATATAGAAAGAAAATACTCACAGGGTAATTAGTGGGTAACTCATTGAGGTTGATGAGGGTGGAGGTTGTAGTAGTGGGAGAGCAACTGTTGTCCTCAACATCAGACATGGGAGTTTTAGAGACAGTGGAGACTGTGACCTTGACGGCACGGCGCTTCTCGGCCAAGGTTGGGTGGTGGTGGTGGTGGTGGATCAGCTGAGGTGGGGTGGAGGAATTGACTGAAGGTGGGGTAGGGATCAAGACCTGAGGGGACAACATGGTGGTGGTGTTTTTGTTGTTATGGACCATGTTTGGCCACAGGAATGTCCCCTGAGGCTTGCAGATTCTGAACCCACTCTTCAGCCTTTGAAGCTTTGCTGCTTTTTCCTCTGCAGCTGTGTTTTCTGCTACTTCAGCTGCTGTATTTGTCTTCCTCTGATCACCTCCTCCTTGTTGTACTACTACCAGTGCTTTGCCGGCCTTATCTTCTTTCTTTTTCTCTTTTTCAGTACAGGACTCTGTGTACACCATTAATGCTGAGTCTGACTTTGTAGTAGTTGCTTCTTCCCCCTTGGAACTTATAAGTTTCCTTGTTTGTTCCTGCATCCACCAGATACACATAAATGCATACCATGCAATGCCACTCATCATTATCATGCTATTTAACTATGATATTCATGTGTATGCTATATATATATATATATAAATTCCACATCTTCTTGAGGTAATCTAATCTGAATCATACATGAATTAGATAAACCTCCCAAATGGGCAAGTACAAGACATTTGAATGCTAAAATAAGCAATACCAGCTGGCGACACAGTTGGTGCATTAATTAATTCATCACCAGAAAAAGAATATACATATATGGTACTTCTAAAGTATTAGTTGTTCAAACACTGTGAGTCCTGTCCCAAATTTAGATTTTACTTGTTCTAGCAAGTAGTAATTAAGAAGCTCACAAACATTGAAATTGACTTACTAGTTCAAACACACATACTATGATTTAATAATCACAACATCTTAACTATGAATCTATGGTATTTATTCATGTGTAAGCTATATAGCCTATATGCATATGTGTTATCCACATATTCTTGAAGTTGAAGTAATCTAATCTGAATCATACATGAATTAGATGAACCTCCCAGATGGGCAAGTACAGACATTTGAATGCTAAAATAAGCAATACCAACTGGGGACACAGTTGATGCATTTAATGCATCACCAGAAAGAATATACTAGTACATGGTACTTAATTCTAAAGTAATAATTTTTCAAACACCTGGGTGTTGGAGAGGCAGGATTAATTTCATGCACTAGCATGTATGTGAGTCCTGTCCCAAATTTAGATTTTGCTTGTTCTAGCAATTACTCCAAGTAGTAATTGAGAAGCTCAGAAACATTAAATTGACTTTGTATTTCAGAAACACACATATGATTTACTAATCATATAATCTTCTAACAGAAATTGAAGGAGTCATGTAGTAATAATGTCATCAATTTCTTAAATACCTTCATATCACTTAGAAATTTTGAAATGGTCATTAGTTGTTCCTCATACTTCTCCTGAAAAAATAAGTAAAAGAAAATAGTTAATGGAGAGCCATTAGTTTATTAGATGGATTTGAAGATCAGTATGCCTCATTCTAGCTAGAAATTAATCAACCATATGTACCAATGAAAAATCAAGATTCAACTTCTGACTGGTGACACTAGAATTTGAAACCACAATGGCTTGAGTACTTTGTGCCTTTTGCTGCCTATTTAATAGCATCTCTTCCATCTCCCTATTCAGGTAACAAACAATAAGGTCACATATATTCACTGGTAACACAAATAACAATTACATTTTCTTTATAAATTTTTTTGCTCTTTTACCTCCTTAGCTTGGCAAGTTCTTCCTCCAACTCTTTCTTGGATACCATGTCATCCATTTTTCTATTCATCAAAACAATTAGACAAAAAGCCAAAGGTAAGACCCACCCAAATAACAACTGTGTGTGTGACAAACATATACTTTTATTTTTGGTAAGTATATACTTTTATGTTAGGACGCACTTTGAACTTGAAATTGAAAGATATTTAGTCCGAAATTTTAACTAATTTTTCTTTAATTCTAAATTCAACCCGTGAATTTGGTACTCTCAAACATACTTTTATTGAATCTTATACTATTACCTTTCTACTTTGGAAGTCTGTTCCTTGAGCTGCTTCAATTCTCTGGCACAGATAGGGTCCTGGGTGGGGCAATCACCAGGCTTCCAACCTGGTGGTGGGTACCAAAAAGGGTCTTCAACCCCAGCCTCTTTCCTTATATTAGAGAGCTCAGCACTCTCCAACCAATACTCCATAGTTCCCTCTGGGTTGTGCCGCCTCCGGAACCGATCAGCACCACCAGGAGCCACCTTCCCGGCTATGTGCTTTAGGAGGTGGTCTAGCAGACCCGTGTCCCCTATTCGCTTGCGAGCCTCCGCTCTCAGCGCTGCCCGGAGAATTGGCTTCCCAAACACAGCACCCTTGGCCTTCATTACCTCCAGTAGATTTTTCTCTGCCAGCTTATACCTTCACAAAATCAATAATACAGTGCATATACACATTACCATTAGATACAAATTATCAAACTGTAAAGAACTAACTTGAATGTCTGCTTTTAGTAACTCGTCAGTACCTCTCTGCAGACCACCTGTGTTTGGGGTCACTGAGGACTATTTGTCTGCAATAGTTAATTTTACTCTTACTCTGCCTTCGATTCTCGCGTTTAATTAATTTCTTTGGCATTTGAACAAGGCTTGATCTTCTACGCTTTCTCTTGCGATTCTTCTTGGTCTCTTCTTCTTCTTCTTCATCGTCATCTTCTATCTCTTCGTCTTCTTCAGCTTCTTCCTCTTTTCCTTTCTCTTCTTCTTCTTCATCATCATCATCTTCTCTCTCTTCTTCTTCTTCAACTTCTTCCTCTTTTGCTTTCTCTTCTTCTTCTTCAACGAAGCTGTAAGCAGATTGAGATTGATTCTCTCTATGCTTGCCGATAAATGCGACTCGACGGCGAACACCCCAACGAACCATACCGTTGCATTTTAGCGCCGCAAAGCATGTGCCCTTGTTTGATAAGACATTATCCTCAGACTTAGAACTATTAGAGGCGGAGTTCACCAACCAGAACCCCTTTAGATGCTTATTCTGGGCAAATTCCTCAGGTGGGACTTGCCTGAAAAGGGCTTTTCCGGCGAGCTTTGTCCCCATAACGAACTTGTCGTCCAGTTTAGGGCACATCGACCTCTCTCTGATTCCGTTGGCGAAATAGTATTGAAGAGACTCAACGCTTGGATATCTCACTGACACGTTCAACAGATCAGTCTTCTCACAAACCTGAAAAAGAGAAAAAGAAGAAGAAAAACCCATCCAAATTAATGGTCCATTCAAAACTAACAAGAAATTAAATGATCAACACACAGATAGTACCATGACGAGTCGGATGGATCTGAGTTGAAGTGGGGTTCTGGTAGGTAACTTAGTATGATCAACCTCGTAGAAAGAACCCACTTCCACATCTTCAATTTCTGAATTGGTTTCTGTTGAAGCATTGAAGCACAAGTGATGAGCCATGTATATATTTTTTTATCATTTGCTTGAAAATTAAGCTGTAATTAAGCACTGATATATATATATATAGAGAGAGAGAGAGAGAAAGAAAAGAGTGATCAGGAGTAGTAAGACAAGGGAAAGGAAACGAGAAGATATATATGATATGCGTTACCGTTGGTGTGGTGGGTACAGTCGGCTGTGAGCAGATGGTGTCCGCCCATATTTGGGGTTTGTGCGGCGTCGACGCTGCTTTGTTGCTGATCCTGCCATTCCAAGTACATGATTCTCTGTCCCGCTTTTGTCTTCCTCTCTCTCTCTCTCTATATATATATACACACAGATATATTTACGTACATCACAGAATTCACACACTAAATCCCCATCACATAATCCACATGCACCCTCTCTCTAGAAAGAATATACATATTGTAATTACGATTTATATGCTCCGTCCGTGCAGTGCAAACAACGATCATAATGATTAAGTAACATTCATTCATCATTTCATTGCGTTCGTGGTGACAACAATACATATACACACAGAGACTAAAGCTAAACAGAATTAATTAATTAACACGCGCAGGAAGCGCGTGAAAGTGAAGGAGGGTTCCTCATATTGAATGTTGGTGTTTTTGTCTTACATGATTGGTTTTATTAATTCTCACTCTCAAGCAGCTAGCCCAGGAGGCGCGTGAACTAGGTGGAAAGAGTCGCGTGTGCGTGCGATAGAGACTGAAGAGAGGATAACAAACAGAAAAAAAGAATTTTGATAGAAAAGCATGCGTGGTTTAGAGAGAGAAAATAAAATATACTCTGAATTTAGAGAGAGAGAGAGAGAGAGAGAGAGAGCATGAAGAGTAAAAATGTTTAAATTAACAACAAAACAGAAACAGATGATACAGTGTAGATATAAAACAGATGATACAGTCTAGATATAATACAGATGATCATAAGTTTGATTTTAATTAATTTGAAGCATGAAAGCATTAAAAAAAATTCAGTTTTTGTAATAAAGGTGATAATTATGACTTTCTACATATATCGATCGCAGAAAAAAAAAAAGTTGGGTAGAACATCTGAGTGCTGTTTTTGGGGTTTCCAAATAAATCGAAAAGAATGTCTGAAAGGTTGAGTCTATGTATAGTAAGGAATTTAATATTGCCGCTCTTTGTGAAACAACAAGAAGAGAGAGAGAGAGATGTAATACAAGAACTAGCTTTCAGATCAAAACTCAAAACTGAGTTAAATATATGGAAAACCTAATACATATAATTATATGATCTCGATTTAGATTGAAAGGAAAATGAACAAGCTAGAACTAGAAAGTAACAAAAATGGTGATCTAAAAATTAGAGATATACTCTAGGAATCAATCCATTTTTGTAGAACATCAGTTCACTTAAAGTCGTTTTGAACTTTAAACAACCCATTTTTGCCCTAGAAATTAAAGCAGAGAAACGTAAATGGTTTGTACTGAAAACATACAACAAAGAAAAACCCTTTCTCAAGAATACAGATATGTATATGTGTGTGTGTGTGTGTATATATATATATATATATATATTAGATGCCTATACATGTGTACAAATGTAATTGAGATTAGCTAGAGAAAATACAAGAAAATAGGAGAAAGAATAATATATATACGTACCTTGATGCTTCAGTGGTTTTAGTTCAACCCTAGCTCAAACCAGAGACTCTTTGTTAGAGTGTTTGAAGCTCAGATTTAGAGAAATCAATCCCGAGAAAACGAGAGAAAATGAGAGAAACCGAGAAAGAAAATGTGAAGTGATCGATCGTACACCTTTAGGCAGAAATAAAATAACCTAAAAAGCTTGTCTTTTTCTCCGATTTTTTAGAGAGAGAAAGTGAGAGAAATGTTTTCTGCGGAAAGGATTGAAGAGAGAAAAGAATCGCAGAGCAAAGTAGTAGCACGTAGTGTAGGAATGAACCTTCACACGAATTAACAGAAAGATGATGATTGTGAGCTGTATTAACCACAATTCTCTGCTCCACTATATTCAAGCAGGTAATTTACAAGTAAACCCCTGTCCCTGCGCTTGAACGTGTGACTCTGTTATAGAGTTCTAATCTGCTGTAGCATCAAGCCTCGCTTTCCAAACGGACTTCACCAGTATCTGCTCGCCACGTTACAAAAGTCCTATTTTTATTTATTTATTTATGTATTATTATTATTATTTGGGGGATGCAAAAAAATAAAAAATTATTAAAATATTTGTTTCATGCAATTTATTTTCCATTATAAAGTGAATAAAAATTTATTTCAGCTTAAGATACATGTTGATGTTTCTTTGTGGAGAAAATTTTAAATCGTTTTGAAATTATTGATCTGGACCAATCAATTTTGACATGCAAATAAACAACTAAATAAAGTCTATATTTACATAAAAGTTTAAGCTGTTGGGTAGTACTGCATACCCACTTATTTATACCCAATCACTTTCTCATCTGAATTCGATGTGGACAAATAACCCTTATTACACTCTCTCTTACCCAAATTCGAAATGCCCTCGTTGCGGATCGGGTCACACTGCCTACCCGGTCTAGCTCACCTTGACGCCTTCCAAGACGGACGCTTGGCGTGACACAGGATTAAAGACTGGGTCTGACTCTGATACTAACTGTAACGGGTGGATAAGCATTACACAAATGCTTGCTTCTTATGTAATTCAGATTATGAGACAATGTACATGTTCTTCAACTGCAAATTTAGTTCTCACATATGGAGGTTCATAAAAGAAGCGAGCACAGGTTTCACATATCAATCAAGGCCTTGGACTGAATTGGTTGATTGGTGCTCCACTAATTGGATTCCAAGCAAATTTCTGGTGCACAAATTGCTCCTCTCAGCAGCAGTCTACTTTCTTTGGATGGAAAGGAATTCAAGAGCCTTTAACACATAATCTTTTTCTCCTCAGCACATTATCTCATTGATTAAATCCTCCACTCGTTCAAGGTTAGCTTCTGTAACTCTTAGAAGCGGCTCACAATTAAGACAAGTTATGTCCTTCAATGACTTGCAGAACCTCTACTTCAAGGGCTGTTCCATACATGGAGGTCACATCTGGCTGATTTCGTAGATGTGGATATACTTGGTCAGGTTGGTGTTTTGTTTGAAACTAGTACTTCAGTATATGCATGCTACAGGGGTAGCAGATGATACTCCTTGTTTCACCTTTTGTGGCATTATGCCTTCAGCCTGCTACCTTTTTGTGGCCTTGTGCCTGTTGCTTATTTTCTATTTGTGGCCTTTGTATTTGTTGTTGGGGACAGTTGTTCCTCATGTATATTCTTTTTCATATTTCTATATATACAGGCTTACCTTAAAAAAAGAAAAAGAAAAAAAAAACTATAACGAGTGGATACTTGCCCATTTACTTAAAAACTCAAATTGTTGGGTAGTACTGCATATTCATCCATTTATACCCAATCACTTTCCCATCTGGACAAGGGCAGATCCAGAAATTGTTAATGGAGTGGGCTAATATTTCTTTGGGTGGGCTAATACTAATAATAATAATTTTTTTTTTTTTTGGGGTTATGCTAAAATTAGGTTTTTTTTTTTTTGGTGGGCTTGAGCACACCCAAACCCCCTGGATCTGTCAGTGCATCTTGATCTGATGTGGGGGGAAATAACCTTTGTTACACACGTTCACGCAAACCATGTAATATCTTCTCTTCATTTTCACCAATATGTACTATTTTAATGAGACTAAATTACTTTCAAACAAAAATATATATATTGAATGATCTACTTTTATGGAAGGAATATAGAAAATTTGGTGAAAATATTTCAAGGTTTTAACTCAGTTTTTTCATTTCTATTTCATAAGGATATTTATGTATCTTTAGTACAAGTATTTAATAATTTATTTGTAAGTTCAGTATGACTATTTGTGAATGATGGATAATTGAACTGTCCCCTTTTAAAATTGCAAAGTTGTCATTTTAAGTTTAAATAGATATATTACTAACATAGATTTTTTGAAAAGTTAAAAGGTAAATTATATATGAAATATTTTATTTTATTTTAAATTTTTAAATGAGACCGTTAATTTGGGACACCTTAAAAAGGAAGTTGGACTATTTAAAAGGACTATTTATTTGTCTTTTTTCTTTTGATAGTGTATGTATAATATTTATTTATATTTTTTATTCATTAATTTGTCTACGTCACATGGTGATTGTTCTGGGACTCATGCTTTCTTGATCGTATAATAATTTCTTACAATATTCATCCCCTTTCTCAGGGTCATTTGGCAATTACAATTACTTTGTACTTTTGCTTTGACTCGAAGCAGCTTTAAATGTGTTCAATACGTACTATTTGGCAACGTATATCTGTCTTAAGATTTTTGGAAGTAAAAATATGAAAACGTGTTTGGTAAAAATATATTATAAGATTTAAAAGGTCAATAGATGGTTAAAATTGTCATTTTAGAGGGTTTTTATTTATTATAAGATTTAAAAGGTCAATAGATGGTTAAAATTGTCATTTTAGAGGGTTTTTATTTATTTATTTATTATTGTATAATGCTTTTGTCACAGTGCGGAAGTAATCAGAAACACCGAATTTTTTCTTTGAATTTTGGTCTTTTTTTCAGAAATATTTCGGTACTATTTAAATCACAGCAAACGTTACCAAACTTATTTTGTGCTTTTGCTTTACTACTATCGTACACCGATACAAACAAAAAATACAGAGCAAAATATGATGGGCAAATAAACAATATCTATAAAGTAAATTGGTGTTGATTTGGGGGGACTCCCACACTCATATTCACGTGGACACGAATTTCAATACGGAGCCATTACGTACAAATACTGTGGTATAGAGTGTGATAAATTGTTAAAATATTATACCTTTCAGAAAAAAAAAAAAAAAAAATTCCTGTTTGGTTCACTTTTTTTTTGGTGTTTTGTTTTAACCGAAGTAAAATATTTTGTTATAAAGTGATTTGCATAGTAATTGGAAGCATGTTTTGTAACATCCATTTGTTACATAATTTTTTGAAACAAATATATGAAAATATGTTTGGTAAAAAAGTATTATAAGTTTGCAAAATATAATGGTTAATTTAAAAATGTCATTTAAGAGTTTTTCAAAAAATAAAATTTTATTTTTTACTGTTTATCGCTACAATACCCGTTGTTACAGTGTTGAAATATGTAAAAACATCAAATTGGTGTTTCGATTTTTTGTTATTATTCATAAAACGTTTTAGTGTGCAAAACAAAATATTTTTTACCAAATATATTT